CCGCCGAGGAGGTACCCTCCTTTGCGCCTCCCGAGTCACGCTGACCTCGGTAGCCTAAGTTGCCGCTGTGTTTTATTCCCATTAAACCTGCAAATCGCACTCGCTGAAACGTATCGCGCGTGTCACCTCGCTCGCCGGCTCAGCCGGTAACTGGGAGGAGGAGGAAACCCTCTTCGGGTAAGGCATGAGGTACACGGAGGGAAGGGGGAGCCCCATGAAGCGCTCATTAACTGAGCCACGGGAGCTGTGCGGTTGGGTGTCCTCTCCCAAGGCCGAGCTGCAAGCTCAGCGCTGGAGGGGAAATGGTAAATACTCCCCCATGGAAGCTGCTGAAAATCTTGCAGGAAACCTGCTCGCTCCGAGGACTATTTTAGCTGTGGCAAAAAGTGGGGGAGTCCCATTTAAGAGTTGCCCCCCCTGGGCTCCTGCCATCAGGCCTGGACAGGTCTCCTCTACCTTCCTCCTTGCCCTCAGCAGGTTCCCAGAGCCCGCACCTGAAGGACCCAGCCCAAAGGCCACCTTCTCGTGCAGCAACCGCAGGATGGAGGCTTGTTCCCTTTCCCTTCTCTCCCCTTCCGAGGTGCTTGATGAAACAGTTGTGTGCATTAAAATGTTGGCTGCAACACCCACTACACCATTGTTTTCATAAATAAAGGCTGATTTTGTAACTTGCAATTTTGCCTTGTGCTTAAGTAACTAAATAAGAAGGTTTGCATTGTGCGGGGTTGTTAAGAAGGTAAGCCTCAAACCCATCAGTAAAAAGCCTGAAGTTTTTATCAATAGCCCTGGGGTTTAAAGTAAAATCTAATTAATCCATAAACCATCACAAATTGGTGGCCTCTGCAGGGACTGGAGGGTTAAGCACTGATTTAAGACATTTTCTGTTGGTATAGCTAACTTCTCCATTCAGAAGGCATGCTGTGAAAATGGACTTTTTCACCCCTCTAAAATTGTTCTACACTAACGTTTTACTTAATTGCTCCTTGGAAAGTGATAATCAATAAATGGGAGAGAGGAACTTTTGCTGGGAGAGTTACAGCCAACGCCCCTATTCAAACGTTAGGGCAGAATATCCTCCCAGTTTTACAGACATTGTCTCTGGTGGGGCTTCTGCTCTGTGTTACCTTCAAGGGTGGCTTCCCATTTCCCTGCTCTCAAACTGTGATGGTGGCCTTTTGCAGGATGCGCTCCAAGGCCTGCGGGCGCTGCTTGGAGGACTTCCCACCAATGATGCTGGCTGCTGATCACACACAGCAAGATCACACCAGAAACTCGTCTCATCCTTCAAAATCTTCACCAGCTCCATGTCCCACCTCCAGCTTTCACTTACCCGTTGTGGGGAGGTGGATCTGCCACCTGTGCCCCTCAAAATCCCGTGCCCCTGCAGTGCCAGGGTCTTCAGGGCAGGGTCTTCGGGGAATTGAGCTGCTAAAACGAACCAGCCTCCTCTCAAAAATCTGCCCATTGCCATTTTTCGAAGACTTATGGTCTGTTCCAATGTGGTTGGCTCTCACGGGGATGGACGGACCACTTCCCGGCACAAAGACCACCCACAGGCGCTTTAAAGGTTTTCCAGGGAAGGTTTTTCACTCAGAGAGCTGCTCGAAGAGAGAGGCTGCAAGAACTTGTGAACCTGGCAGTTGCAAATCTGTATTTCGCCCTCAAGCCCTGTCCACAGAAGTTACAGAAACATTTTAGATGCATTAAAACAGTGTTTTAAAAGTGGAGCTTGACACCAGGCACCGAAACCCCCCATAATTTCCTAATTATGCTAATGCACCAGCATGGTAAATGGAGCAATGTCAGTGTCAGGCCTGTCCTGTAGCCTGGCACGTGTATGGGAACTTTGCTGCACAAGCACCGAAGTAATTTCTGGGTTAAATTAAACCCCACACATTGGATACCAGTACGTGTTGGACACTGACCCCCTCTCGCAATAACACTTGGGTGGACTTGGGGTGAAAGAGATATTTCTATTGTGGATCCCGTATCAGTCCGTCCATCCATCAAGTCTCCTGAACAATGTCTGAGCCCTCCTGGTTGCTTTCAACCAGAGGAGGTCTCTGAAATCTGAAGTTTTCACAGATTTTATGGGGATCGGTGACCAGGTAGAGGAAACTCAGATCATCTCAGTGGGATCCACAGGAAACATGAGTCCAAGCTCACACATGGGCAAGTCAGAAACAAATTGTCTGGGAGCAAGTAGAGGTGGCAGGAAAAAAGCCCCATTTTATCTAACAGCCATCTTTATGCTATAAGTACAGGACAATACTCCTGTTTTCATCTGTGAAACAGAAAGAGTGAAGCTATTTTGAAATAAAGCATCTGTTGGCCTTTCTTTTCTTTGTTTTAGATCGAGTCTGTCTTTTCTGGTTGTAGGAGATACAAGGAATTGGAGGATTTTTACATTTATAGGTCAAAGAGTGATAATTATATAAACATTAATAAAAATGTTTCTTTATAACTCAAAAATGCAGTAGTCCTGGGTTTTGACATTAACCAAAATTTTAGAACAAGTTTAGCACCTCACCCTTGATCAATAAACCTCTTGTTACTTCTTCTCTCTTGGGCTTTTCAGTGATCTGGCATCAGCAGGCAGACAGCAGACATGGCCAGGTGAACTCCAAATCTTACTCTAGGCTCTATCCTGACACCCTTTGTTTCTAACAACAGCTAATTGCCTGTACCTCAATAACTGAAAGCATCATATTACAGGCTTCTTTTGATCTTAAACATTGAAAAGACTCAAAATTATTTCACCTGTCTCCCCTTACATACATCTGCAAGACATCTTTGTGAAAAACAATTAGACACAATGCAAACATGTCCCAGGAAACACATGCCAATGTATGTGGCTTAGGAACCAATGCTCAAGCAGCTCTTTTGATGGAAAATCTGCTGCAAATAAGACACTCACTCACTTCTGAAGGAGCACATTTTTCTCAATGGGAAGTGATGACATGAAGTTGAACCCTCTCCCAGTATTCCCCCACGCTATTCCTGCTTGAGACCGCCTCCAATGCAAACAAGGCACATAACCAGGACACAGGGAGCTTGCTGAAAGACCGTAGGAGTCACACCTATTCGTGAGTTTGCCACACGGCTGTATTTCTGCACACGAGTGATTTGTAGCTCTCAGTCCACAGAGCTATGATAACTTTTTAATAGGAAATCCAGGCCCCAGTGCTGTACCCAGCAGTTTTGTTATGCTCCAGGGAAGCTATGTGGAGGGGGAAACAAAAGAGAAAATTGACCATTTGTGACCACCCAGTATTAAAAAAGCAGGGAAGAGGCAGGCAGAATCCAAACTACTGCACACAGGAATAGTGTCTCTGAAATTTCTGCTCACTTCTTGATAAGCAAGGCCCTTATGAGCTTGCGGTGCTTCAAACAGTAAAGTTTGAAGCTTAGTTACAAATGAGCAAAATAAAGGGGCAGCTTCCTCTTGGGTTGGAGGTTTTCCTCACACCAGCTGTGGGGGGGGTGTATCTGTGCCACTCTAAAACTCCCTTACCACAAGCAGCAGCCCTAGACCCAGCAACACGCTGACAGTTTACCCCCTAGCCTCATGCTCTGCCATTGACGCACAGTCCACCCAGCAGAATTCCAGCAAAGCTATACCCATCACCGAGTCTTTCTTCCCCTCTCCTCCCTTCTTCCATAAATCAACCACTGCCACCTTGCTGGCCTGGGCAGATTTGTGCTGGGCTGTCTCCGGGGAGTTGCTGACAAACCGTTTTACTGGTGCACAGGAGATTTAAAAGTCTCCTGCAAATCTGACCCAATCTTTTTGCAGCTATGTGCTAAGGGATTTTGTTACAAAGATCAAGTGATGTCAAGTGCAAAAGTATGAAAGTAATTGTTACTTACTTTTAGGATTTGTAAACCTCGATACCCAGGAATTTTAGTATTTATCAACCCGTTTACAGAAAAAGTACAAAGACCAACACCTTTAGCAACAGATGCTGATTTGTGTTGTCTTGAATAAATTTGACACATATTTTTCCAGGCAGAAAAGCCTGAACAAAACCCCTTTTATCACTATAGATCCTGAACTGCTGTCCAGTGATCAATTAGTTTGCAAAGTCCTCTTTAAGTGCTCCCCACCTGCTCCATTGACTCCATCGGGTTCTGCACGTAAACAGCACCTCAGAAAGACCCCATATACCCACGGTCATGACATCTCACATCTAAAGCTCAGCAGTTCTCTTTTCCCCAGTGCACAACTCGAAGTGTAAGGCGTGTTTTCAAACGGGTTCATTACAGGCTCAGTGCCAAGCCTATTGCAAACACTAGAAAAAGACCTCAGCTGATTTGAGAGGTCTTTGGATCAGTTGTTCTAGGAAACAGATTTGTACAAAGGTAAGAGGAGGAAGAAACGGTACTTCCAAGAATTGTGGGATCAGTAACAACAGAAATGCTCCAATAGAAACTGCAAAGCTGATCGCCAGTTTGCATGGCTATACTAAGCTTAGAAAAGGTAGAACTAGTCCCTACAACTCAGAAGGCATTAACGCCAAATGTGGAGAAAGTTGATCAGCAAATGCTTTTCTTTGTATCTGGGTGACTTCCTACGGCTGTCTAAAAGCCTGCTTCTCATCTGAACTGGCCAACCCTATTCCCTCCCTTGTATCTGGATGCAGCTAGGTGTCACTGAGGAGCAATTCATTCCCACCATTTTGGAGCTCTGTTTTAAGGTGGGAAGAATTGGAGATACCTATCAGCCTCCACTGGTGACAGAGTTTGGATAATGACCAGAGACTAGATGGACAACTTGCAGAGGGCTAATATTAAGCAAGGGAAATCTCACCTTGTGCCTTTTAGCTCACTCAAGTTTTATAGGCAAGTCAGCTGCCAGATTCAAAGAGATAGTCTTTGGTGCATGAAGGTAAAGGTGCTGGCAACCCTCTTGTCACCCCACCATTTTGCTAGTTGTTTTTGTATTTAGATTATTCTTGCTACATAATGACCTGGCAAACAAAGTCAGAAGTCCATGGTAATCTTGTTCAAAAAGTACATATATTTAATAATGGTAACAATACATTTTTTTTTTTCCCCTGGAATATCCACTACTGTATTTCATTAAGTCCCTTCTATGGTCACTGCAGTTTGACTGTACATAGCTACTGTCTAAGCTGGATACATGGTTATGTTTTAGCAGAGTAGTACTCATATATTCTCTATAAATATAATAAAAGATTTAACATTTCTGTTTTCATTCTGATTCTTACACATATTTACTGGGTTTTCACAAAAAAATACATGTCTCTTTCCTGCCTCCCCCAACCTTCTATTGGGTTCCAAATAAACCTGAGTTTGTAATTCAAGTCAGTATCTGCCATCTGTTCAGGTACACAAGTCTGACACACACAAAAGATGGGATTTCAGTCATCCCAGCTTGCTAGCTTTGCAGCGCAAACATGTTCTTAGCATGAAGAAAATGCTTTAATGGTTTTAAATTAAAAGAAGAGCTGAAATGGAACTCTGGTATGCACAGGTGTTCTGTACAAACATTTTTCAATCTGGAAATGAGTGAAATTATTTCAGGGCTGTCTTCCTTATCATATTGGGATTTTTAAACATATTATTTTACAGGTAGCTTAACTACCCCAGAGGCGGGTATCCTCACTACACTGAAGAGTACAAGACACATATGGCCTCCCCTGTACTGAACTGATGGTGCTGAGGTGAAGGTTCCATCTGAAAGGATGAGAAGAGCGCTCTGGGCATTCACGCGCTGCTGCTTTTTCCAGCAAGCATTCAAAATACAGTCCAGTTATCTGTTCTGTCAGTATTTGGATTAACATCCAATTTTTTTTCTTGTAGATTTTGGTGTAAGGCCTGTGCTATGCTGAGAATCGGGAACATGCACTCAGCTATGGGCTCTGCTGGACACCTCCTCCCCTGCCTCTGCTGGCCCACCTCCCCCAGTCCCTGTGTATCTCTCTCATGAAACTGGAAGAAAAGCTTCTCAAACAGGGGTAAGTCTCAGCATTTGCACAGACACCAAACCAATGGGGCCACAAAATTGTTTGCAAAAATATTGATGGAAACAGGGCTTGGATTCACACTGATGGTCTTGAGGCAAAATACCCACCTTCTAACAACAATCCCAAGAAGAAGACAACACCTCTGCTGCCTGGATTTTGAAATGACGTTAATTGGGAGGGCAGCAGTAGGGCAGACATGGGCCAGGGCTGCCTGCTTGGGAACCAGACTGGAACAAGCTTTGTTGTGACTTTCCATACACACAAACACATATGCAAGCATGGTACAGACAAAAGAAAAAAGTAGTCTTTGGCTAAACCTTCTAATTTATAGGAAATTGTTTGAAGACAAAAACAGAACAAAAAAAAGTTGCCAACATCTCAGATGTATCATTTACTTAGAAAAACAAGACCGGTTATACAGAACATGGTGCCTTTTAAGAAAGTTAATCTTCACCACTCATATCTATACCAAATTTTTGGTAACCACTGCATTACCAATCTCGCAGTATAAAACGGCATTGGTACAGGTTCACTTGTCCTTTATTAGTCTTTTTAATTCACTGCAGTCTCTCAGAAAAGCCTTCAGGTGTGTCCAATGCTGCCTTGATGTAACGGGCTAACACAGCCCTCCATGTAGACACGCCATGGAACTACTACAGCTGCAGAAAATGAAGGTGACTGGATTGTTTAAACACAGAGTGTGACAATTTGGATGACTGAAGCATCTGCTTGCAGACCCATCATGTGAAAGGAACAGGCCTCTAGTGCGGTGAATTTCCACGTAATGAAACTTGTTTTTAAATAATCATGTTTCTTCTGAGTGATGTCATTAAATCATCATTTTCTTTAGGAAAAAATGTTTCTATTGTTAGCTACTTTATGTAATTAACTGTAAAATCTGCTTTCACTTCCAATACTCCCACTTTTTTTCTGAAAGTTTAGATCACTCGTGTCTTTATTCAAGCTTCTACCAACTTCATCTTCTTGGCAGTGCTTGTTAGCATGTTGACTTTGGACACAGAATCTTGAGTTTTCCCACCTGTCTAGCCACATGAACAATGCCTGTTGCAGTACCATGTACTGTATGGCAAAGGCAGACGGAGCACAGTCTCACCACAGATCCTGGATGGGACCAGCATTCATGGCACCATTCAGATTACCTTGATGAATCAAACCTTTAATGCTCACTGCTTTTTCAATCAACCATACTGCAATACTAGGTGAGAGCAGTGAAAATACATATTCACGTAGCTCTTTCAAGACATGTTTTACTGTACAGTCAGATGCCAAATGCTAATATTTCTTAACAGCACAAGCAGAGCCCTTTTCTTTCAGCTGCAATATGTAGGACAATGCCTTCCTTACAAACAGACCTCTGATTTTCTACGTTGGACCACTGTGGTATATTACGTAGTGACAGTATCATGTCTGTGGCTTTCCCTTCTTGTTAAAAGTAAAAAAGGTTAGATCCCAGAGAACAGCAGAGCAAACCCCAGGATGTCAGACTAACACTGGCCGCTGACAGCATCTGTTGCAGTGAAGGAAATCTGTGTGGGGCTCATCTGCTGCAGTTGAGGCATCCTCGCTTCCAGTGGCTTGTCGCTCGCCGACTGCATCGTCTGGTTCCTCTTCCGCAGCATCTGTCCGATCCCCATCATGGGGAACCTGCCTCTGCTTTTAACACAGTTGGGGCTGCCCAAGGGGTTGCTGGAAACCAGCTGAGTAGGGGACACTGCTTCTTCCTTTGCCGGATATGCTTTTTCTTCATATGTGAAAGAGACTTGGGTGGGGTGGACGGGGGATGTACTCCCTGGCTGAAAAAGCGGGGACAGTGTCCTTTCACTTGAGCTTTTGTAAGGGAAATTCATTGGCGAGCCTAAAATCCTGTACTGATGAGAGGGGGAAACCTGGTCTATTTGGTCTTCTCTGTCAACCGACTCGAAGGAGTGCACAATATTCAGGATGAGAGGAGAGTCCTTTGCCCGGCCCCCGATGCGGGCCGGCTCCTGCTGCGGGGACTCCTGCCTCTTGAGGAGTCGAGGGGTTCTGGGAGGAGGCTGCTGGACTTCGAGGTACTCCAGGGAGCTGGAAGTGATGCAGCCTGTCTTGGTTGCCAGGGGTTCGTGGAAAGGGCTTACCCCACCACTGGAGTCTGCAGAGCAATCAGAAAAGGAGCCAGAAGAGCAGATTGAATTTAATAGCACTGCTTTCTCTGCCTTACAGCAGGCAGTGTCTGATATCACCTTTAACAAATTTTAGAAGAGCGTGACAAATGCACTAGCTAAAACAAATGGTCTTAGGGATACACTCAGAACCTAACTCCCTGACTCTCATTTGATACTTACGTTGCTGTTTCACGGGTAATTTATCTGCCACTTTCCTCAAAGGCAGGAAGAGTGCTTAAACTGAGTAAGACAAGGACATGAAATAGAAAACCACAGATGTCTTCAGCTGTTTGTATTAATTATATCCTGTAAGGCCATGTCTGAGAAATCTCTCATTTCTCCTTTCTTAGCACAACTCTGCATGGTTTTTACTGGTTCTGCATACTGTATTCCCTGACATACCTAGAGACATAGGGGACAACAGTGAGTTAATCCCCAATGTCTTTCCCTGAGTTTTGGAACAAAATCTGTTCTTGGTTTCACACATGTGAATATGGAGTAGCTGCACTGGCCAGATTCAGGCTGCTACAGTTGGAACAGATTTGCTGCATCGGCTTCAGCAAGAATCCTCCTCCAGCAAGGACTGAATATAAATGGAACATCTTTGCAGGATTTGGCCCAGTAAAACAAAACAGCTCGTGGAGAAGATCTGCTCGGTTTCTACAGGATGCTGGCACTTGCTTATGCCAAGCTAGTCAAATGAAAACACGTTTTGCTGCCTTTATGGAAAGCTGTCCAAGGAGCCTGCTTTGCTAGGTTCCCCTTAATTGAAAGAATAGCAGACTGGCAGTTAATCACTGCCCACAAGTTCCCTCGGTCTCAAACCTAAAAGGGATCTAAAATAATTTAGGTCTGCCAGCCCTCAGCTACAAATCTCACATGTACTTCTTTTGAAAAGAATGGTCTTGGCAGGGGCTGAGACCCGAATGGATGTACGGGATGAAATCGCTTTCATTGAGAGTTGTCTAGGAAAAGAAGAGCAGGTGTAATCTGACTAGTTTCTTTCCGAAACTGGTCAAAATTATTTGACCACTTCATTTAAGAAGTGTCAAAACATGGTTTCCATAAGGAGAGAAATGCTTTAGCTGAGATCTGAATGATTTTCAGGTTTCAGTTCAAAAAAGCAGGGAGAAACCTAAAGAGGAAAAAAATGAACTAGGTTTACTTCCCCTGTACTTCCCTTCCCAAAGGAATGACAAATTCTAAGCAAAATGAGCACTTTCTAATGTTTTGTATGTTTTTGACAGAAAGTACATCCCATTTCTGACCAGCTCCATAGATTACTGCTACCGTGCAGCAGAGGTGCCTGTGCTGCCAGATGAACACAGTTTTGACATTTTTTTTAGGTAGAAAACACTGAATGATAAATTATCAAGTAATGAGAAAGAGCATAAAACCACCATACGCCACCACTCTAAATAAGCCCCTGGCATCACAGTTAAACGTTTTACATCGCTGTACTTCCCCGATGTGCTCTGTAGTGACCTCCCCTCATTTAGTCCCCTCACTTAACAGCTGGCTACATCACCTTCCTGCTCCTCAATGTCTCCCATCCACGTGTGCACTACCAACACCCCGTTTTCCCTGCTGACTCCCCTTTTCCTCCACTCCTTTCTTCCACCTCCTTTTGTGAGCAGCTCTCACCCATCCCTCCCAGGCTGCCTCCTACCCCGTGTGATTCATGCTCTGCTCTCCTCTGTCTTGTCTTTTCCTCTCCCTCCTAATGCTTTTCCCCCTCCTTTTGCTGCCTGAAATTTTCTGGGGTTGCCAGTCCCACCGGCATTTCCTCTCGGCTGCCTCTTTCCCCTTCCTCCACCATCAGCTGCTGCCCACTGCTTTTCCCAGGGATGCCACCGTTACCAGCACTCTCCTCAGGGTCAGGGGTTTCTTCCCATGCTGTCCCTTAGTCCTCTCTTAGCAAAATGCATTCGCTGGTAGGAAGAAGCTTGTCTACCGGCTTTGGTTTGTCAGTGATCTGGGGTGGGTGTTGATGCTTTCAAAGCACCAGTGTGAAGTGCAGATGATTTTGTATAAGTACGTATAAATAGGGAAAGAAAGCTTTTTTTAAAACACTGTGGGAATTCTGTGAAATAAAAAGAGAAGTAAAAGTGAGGATTCATGACTGCTGAACATCTTCATGGTTCCTCAAGACGTTTCGTTCAATGTTTGACTACATTATCCAGTCCTCTTTCAGATACCACCTCCAGAGCAGACAGCGAATGCAAGCCCACGATTATTTACTAACAAACACACAACACACAAGACACTCTCATTAATACCGCGCGTGCCCACGCAGGCACATGCACACAGGGACACACCACTGGTATTCCTCCCACTGACCTTTCTCTGGACCTCCAGCCTTGGTGACTTTCCGGTCCTTCAGCAGAGCCTTGGTGTTCTGTATCTGTGAGATAAGACAGGAAGAAGGCTGTCTATATGAAACTGGACTTTTCTCAGTTTTCTTTGGGAGCTGACGGTGAAGGATCTCCCCTTTCTTTTCTTGCTCTTTGAGTTTTTTGTCCTTTAAGTTGTAAAACAAACAAGAACAATTTGGTTTACTTAAGGGAAGTTTAAGTGACGCCCAGACTTACAAGCACACCACTTGCTGAAGCTGAATTAAAAACTATGCATTTACAAGGAACTTACCCTGGCTACTCAAAATAACTAAGCCTTCCATGTCTCATTTTCCTCTGTTTGACATGATTTCATGGCTCCCATCTGCTCTGACATTCATGCAGTGTGAAAGTTGGTTTTGGAAAATTAAGAGAAAAGGAAAGCTTTCTCTTCAGAGGCCATTTGTCCTAGAAGACCTTGCTGGAGCAAGAAGACACGTGTTTGTGCTCCTCCATACCTGAAATTTGCCTCCCTATTTAAGTACTGAAAAAATTCTCTTTATTGCACTTCCTCTGACATTTGAAAAGGTGAGCTGCAAAGCTTTAAAGAAGTTTAAACTCTCTGAGTCATTTATCTTCTGTCCAAACAAGATCGGGAGGAATAAGGCCCTTATTTTTACAGCATCTCTGCAAAATCACAAGACATGGAGTGGGAGAAAATTACTGACCCAACCCTCCACTGAGCCCTAACTCCTTTTCATGATGGGGAAGGCAGCTGAAAGTGGGATTGCAAGCACATACATCCTAAAAGATAGGTTTGATCTCCAGTGATGACAGAGGTAAAACAGAACCTGTGAGTTGGACTCGGAAGAGGAATCCAATTTTCTAAGAACTGTTTTACAGTGAAAATTCACTGTATCTTCTTTCAACATGAATCACTGGATTCTGCAAGCTTCATGACACTCTGTACCTGCCACTGATTTCAGGGAGAGCCAAAAGTCTTATTTCACATCAAAAAAATCAGGCATCCAATTTGTGGCTTTGCTTTGCTACCTCTCAAAGGTTTCGAGGATCTCCTACCTTTCTGGAACAAAGGTGTGGTCTGGTTTGAGACGCCAATCTCAAAGAAGTGGGGCTTTTGTTTTGGTTGCTTAGGGGTTGTTTTTGTGGTCATAATTCTCATCTAAACAACATGTTGTGCTGTGTCTTATTAAAAAGTCACTGTAAGTACAAGTCTTTTAAAAATGCAGGAAAGTTCCTTCACCCAATTATATGCCGAGGCCTGTAATTTGTCTGATAATTAAACACTGCCAAAGGACTGGCTCTCTTGATTTTCTTTTGAAAGTTCATTGACATAAAGTCTATGAAAACCCTCCACTGCAAAGTAATGTGCATACATGCGAGAGAGGGAAAGAAAGATGAAGAAAGCAACTTGGGTTCTCTTGGGCCACTAAACAGCTCTGGAAACATATTAAGACACCTAAGAGGAAAATAACCAAACTGCACTCGTTATGGTCATTCCCAGCTCAGACAGAGTCCAGTTCCCTGCACAGATGGTGTCTGGACACCACTAGGTTCACTAACCTATGAGTTTTTAGAATTTATGGAGTTGGAAGGAAGAGCTTCAGTTAATCATGAAGTAGAGTTTTTAATTTTATTACAGAAGTGGTTAGGTGACTTGGGAGAGAGGGGATCAGAGACCCTCCGTGAGCTATTCACTCTCTTCACCTCAGTCTCCCTTCACACGTATTTTTTGTCCCCAGCCTTCTCTCCATCCGTGCCTCATCTCCTCCAATTTCCTTCCCTTTAGCTACATAAAGTTGGCTAACCCTTCCACAGAAACAAACCAGTGTATTACGGAGCTGTTATCGCTGTGCTTGCATGATACCTCTTCATCCACCCGATGTCCTTCCCCTTGACTTTAGAGGCTGTAAGCACCTCAGGAACTGAACATTTATTCCTCCCTGCCCATGCTGTGTTTGGAACAACACAACATCTGATCGGTCCCAGGCACTATATTGGCAAGCACAGTTACTACTGACGACGATGAAGTAGTAACAACAACAACAATAATAATAATAATAGTGATAATAATGATGATGATGATAATAATAATAATGATGATGATGATAATAATAATAATGATGCTGTGTGAATAACACCCTGTGACAATAAGAGTCAGTGGAAGCTGTACGGTTAATTTTGAGCCCACCACACTATTTTTCCTCTGAAGGTTCTGAAGCTCTGCTGCCAAGTTCAGCAGCGACTGGGCTCTACCAAGTATCTTTTTTTAAAGGTACTTCTGAGGATGAGACCAAGTGGTGACTATATTAAGCCTAAAGGAGTTGATCAAGATTGTTAGTGGCTTTCTGCTATTTTGGATAGGTGAGGAAAGAATTTGCGTGTTGCTTGCTGCAGCATCTGTCAGAATGCAGGACGTTTCAATGCTACAATATTTTTAGCCTAATGGTGCAAGAGCTAAGCCACAGCTCCTCACCTGCCAAGTGCTCCTGACTTTGCCTTCACACTGCTGTTATACTTTCTAAGTTGTAGTAACACAGTCATGCAATACAATTAAAGCACCCACAAAAAAGGAAACTCACATATCCGGTGTTAGCAATTAATTAGTTTACATTGCAAATAGTCTTATAAATATTTTTAAAACTTACTAATATGTTTCTCTTAGATGATGGTTGTGAGAGGGGAAACAGCGAAAACCCTAAACTCCCAATGTGCCACATACTATTATATTTTAAAAGGAAAGGAAGATTTCCTTCAGGGGAGTTATAAAAGTTCACTCTTCACTGTACCGTGCACAGCCATGTAATGGCATGCTGTCACACAATGCAGGAGTTGTACCAGTATGTTATACTTGAATAGGTTTGGCATTACATCATCCTCTGCTATTTCCTGTCCTGACCTCGACCCGAAAACCTACTCTTAGTCCCAGCAATGGATTTGAAAGAAAGATAAAGGGTATTTGCCTTGGCCATGTCTGAAATGGTGATAAGACAATGACACAACTTCTTAAAAATTGCAAATTCCCCGAGTCTGAGCCCACTAGCTACCCTGTGAGGGGCAGGAATCCCCAGTGCTGGTCCCCTGGACTCGCTGGAGCGATGGCCACTCAGCACCCGAGGCCTCTCCAGCAAAAAGAGAGAGATGGAGAGAGGCAGCCTGCTGCCTCCCTCCTCCCTGTGCTGCCCATCTGCCCCAAGCACTTCAACGAAACCAGCCTGCAAAACAACCTGGTCACTTAGCACCGACAGCAGCCACCAGCACCCTTGGCCCCTCTGTGCTGATCCCACCACCCCAGGTTAGGAAACCTAATGGAGAAGAGGGGCTGGGCACGACCGCTGCCCACTGGCCCAGCTGCCTGCCCCAGCAGAGTCCACATTTCACATTGCTGGAGTGAGGTGGAAGAAATTCAATCGGCTGCTGAAGCTGATGCTGACCAGCTCTCCTCTCCCTGCTATCCCCATGGCAACACACCGCTCCGCTCTCTTTGCAGTGTCTGCCGAGGGACCAGTGCCTCCCAGTTCCCTTCTGGAAATGGGGGGAGGGAAGGGGACTCTATCTGCACCTCATGAACCTGCCTGAGCTCAAAAAAATCCCTGCTCCTGAGTGCCGGTGGCACCCACTGACCCCAGTGTCATGAGCTAGACACTACCAGGGCTGTGTTCCCATCCACGTGAAGGCATTTTAGGAGATGCCTACTGTAGTTACAAATGGAAGTAGCATCCTATGGTCTGTATTCATGTCCTGGTACAGTAAGGGTAACACAATCCCCTTGTGTAAATACAGCTAAAGGGATATAAAACATGCTTTATACTCAGCTATGCCCATGCAGAAAGAGAATATACTGTATTATTATCACAGTGTCTGCACTGTGATTGCATCAAGGTAACTATTTCAAGAAAGAAATGACACCCCCTCATCCTCTAAATAGCTACATTGGGACTAACTCTGAAGGCAGGAGACGCTTTGGAGGGAGACTTTATCCCTAAGCATGCCTACAAACCAAACTGGGGTCTAACAGTGGCACTTACTAACATGTTTAATCAACATACCATTAGTTTTCAATTACCCTTAGGGAAGTCAGACATCGGGCCTGGGACTCTCTGTTGCTGTGCAGAGAAGTGGCACCAGCACCTGAGGCAGCCGGGCCAGAGAGCATCAGGGATGCACCACGCAACATCTGGTTCACCTCCAGGGACCTGCCTGTGTTTCCAGGGGAAGGTTGCCCTGCAACAGCTTGAACTAAGATGACAAAGTGCACTTTAAAATATTATATTCATGGAGTCTACCCTCTGCTCACACATTTTAAGTAAGGTGGGTTTTGATTTATGTAAGAAAAGAATGATAAATACTTTGCCCTTATATTTCCATCTGGCTTGCAGTTCAACTTGTATTTCAGTCTTTAATATAAACAAAACCAGCCATGATACAGATTTGCCCCTGCAATTAGATCATCAATCCAGCCCTGAATAATAGCTTTTGAAATAAGCAGACTCTTAAAGAATACTGCTCTTTGTGTTGGTAGGTAAGACTTGCACAGCTCATATTACTCTTGTAATTTTAGTGCTTGACAGACAATCATCCAGGGAAGAAATACCCAGCCATGAGAAGACTCCTACTATCTGACACATGTTCTTTTAATACAAACTACCTTCTCTATTTGCAGGCAAGAAGACGAAACCAGCAGAGCAAAATGTAACCTGGTTAAATCTTTTCTCTGGCCAAGGGAAGTCCCTCACAATCAGTGGGCTAGTTTTGCATCACTTCTGCTAAGAAGCAGAAAACACTAACCTGGGCAGAGTTTTGTGCTAATACAGTTTCATCATTTCTGATAGTCAAGCCAGGGTTGGCCCAGGACACCAGGAATGCCAGGTGACCAGGGAGGGTCGCCCTGGTTATCACTCAGCTCTCTTCCCTACACCACCAAGGTCTTAAGACTCAAGGCAACACAGTTGTGGTCTTCTTACAACACCAACACCTGCATCCCAGAATGAAACTACGCAGCTCCCTGAAGAAGTTTGCATTATTTTGCTAAATAGAGCATTTAAAACTTTTTTCTTCATAAAAGCTGCAAGTCACCTTTACACTTCCACTCTAGGTTGTTGCTATTTGTTCCTTCAAAAAGAAATCAAGGGAATTATTTGTTCCAAACAGCCAAGACCACAGGTCTTTTTTTTGATCCACAGGTCAAGAAATCCATCGCCTTAATCACAATAGCCAAGGATCCTCAAATTCAGTCTGCTTTCAAAGTACCTTAAATAAGCTTCAGTGAGCTTTACCTCATAGGAGTCTTTATTTGCCTTGTATTTTTCTATCTGGTATAGTTGGTTCTTGTGGCAAATATTGTCCTGGCCTTCAGACTTCTGTGGAGAGAGAAACACAGAAAAGTAAAGTATGTAAGATAATTAGAGAAAACTAACATTCAATTACTGATTAATGGACCATATCCACCCCTCAGAATTCAGTGGAGGTGCATCAACTTACGGAGATGACCAGTTTGGCCCATTACATTTTAAATATCATTGATGGCATCATCATTGAAACGATCTAGCTAAAAGAACTGAGAAAGGAAAAAAAATAAGAAGCTGCTGTCACATCAGAAGGCCGTTTGGTATAATTTCTCTAAGAAGCAAACACATTAAAAAGAAAGCTCCACACAACTCACCCTCCTGCCTGTGCAGTTACGTAGGAGCCTACAGACCCTCAACTAGTTATGACTCCTCACCAGACCACAAGCAGCTGTGTGGAGAGGCCAAGGGAATAGAACATGCAGTTTGTCTTTGTGTGCCGTGCCCATCCTAGCACTCCAGCAAGAACCACGCAAAACGTGGCTGAGATCTCAGCTCCCCAGGATGTACATGTGGCAGCAGACTCCTGCCCTAGAGAAAGCTGCTGTGCCAACTCATCAGCAGTGTTTATGACCCCCCAAGCCATACTCAGGGGCCAGGACAGTCAGCAGGAGACTGGGAGACTTTATATTCACGTTATTCTGAATGTAAAACTTTCAGGTAAGTTTTCACTTAAAAACTAAATACAATCTTAATAGCTCTTAAGCTTTGATTTCCTGAATCAAATTACATTGTGCTATTGATATTTCAAGCAGCAGAATGATCTCAACATACTGACACAGTATACCACCAGTCACAAGTAAGGCTCTACATGGAAACAGTTTGCTTTTTATAGGATAACTGTCTAGTGGAGGGGATCTCCTACAGAAACAGGGACTTGTGAGACATAAAGCGTATCAGCAATTACCTCTGCAACCTGGAGTATTCTTATCTGAAATAACATTATGAAGATTGCAAGGAATACTTCCCCTTCATGGTTACTGCTACAAAATTAGAAAAACAAAAACCTCAGGTAAAGCTTTGAGATAAATACCAGCAAGCAGGGAAACTTTTAGCACCTTTTTTACCCTTCTCACCCACTTGTCCAAAGAATCGGCATCAAGCAGTACTTACCCTAAGGCTTGCCAAGTAGCGCTCCAGCTTCTTATTAAGTAGAAAGTAGATGGCAAGTGTGTGACTTGCCCTGTTTGAGAGCACAGTGTTGATGACGTCGCTGTTCTTGTAGCCGAGCTTCTCGGTCATGTGGAGCAGCACGCTTTGGCTGAGGTCCTCGAGGTGAATCCTGCACAGAGAGAGAGGTAGAGCACGCTGCTCATACCGACCTCCCAGCGACAGAGCCTTGCCAGCCACAGGGGATGTGGCAGAGTGTAAAGAAGAGGCCTGAAAGGCTCAATAACATGGGAGTGATCAGCTTTCTCCTCCTGCGAGCAGGCATGAAAAGGGCAAACTATTCCGGAACCACGGGAAGCCGTGGTAGGTGAGTGAACAGCACTCTCCCCACCATGTCCTACCCTGACGTGAAACGGCACCGTGATGCTCAGGACACCACTGTTTGTTACCCCACATCTGACCAATGAAGACTGTCAAGATCATCCAGCTCGTTTTGAAGGAAAAGAGGTAAAACCCAGTTCAGGTAGCTACACTTGGCTTTCTGAAATGACCCTTTCCTTGCAATCAAACACCACTGCATTCAGCTTCACCCCTTACCTGTTGCACCATATTCATGCACTAAGTAGCTAGGGAATTTCATGCTGGAGAAAGGGGATGTACAGGGAGGGTTATGACAGCAGCTCTCAAAATGGTAAAACTACTGCTATACTCATGTCAGTTAAAAGCACAAGTACAAGACATGTTTATGTATGTTCTCTTCTATAAAGTCTATAACAGACTCAGGCAAGGCGAGAAATGAAATACAGCAGCCTTGTGGAAATGGCAAAGCATCTTCTCAGTCTAAGTTAAAACCAGATTTTCCAAAGAACTCTGCTCCTATGTAGACCTCTAAATGCACTGGCCAGCCTCCCAGATGTAGCCGTCAACTCCCACCCATCTCCAAAGAAATGCTGGGTTTAATTTGGTTTCTAAAGGTTATTCCTTGCTCCTAATATCAAGCCTAATATCCGGCTAAGACAAGTTAGGGGAGCTTGGTTGTGGGCTTTTTTACAACCTACCTTCTGCCTTCAAAAGGACCATTCTCCACCTTTCCCACCCCTGCCCCGCTGTCACTCTGTCCTGTTCACCTGTGATGCAAAGAATGCCCAGACAGCAGTCTGGGTCTGACACAGAGGACTTAGACAAGATGTAAAACATCTCAAGTAACTCTTTTCCTTTATTTGGTGTGCTTATTAACATCTGTTCTGCAGCTAAGGGCTGGGCTTTTTCTAAGTTCAAAAGCAAAACTTATCTTGGCCACTGCATGTTAAAACATCTGGACAGCAAAAGAAATTCAAACAATTTCTACTCGAAGTGCTCAACAAAATAGTAAGTTTTTGCTTGCCTTTAGAGAATTTCTTTAATAAAAGCAAGGTTATAAAAAGCCTGTGAGAATATTCTCTTGAAAACGCAGTTTCTTCCATTCTTTCAACTTATCTTCATGCTCTCCCATTTCCTACCATATTCCTGTCTTGAGAACAATGGCTGTTACCCTCAGAACGGTGGAGGATCCCTGCAAGAACGTAACACAGCTTCTTGCTTGTGTTGATTAAGAGAGGAAGTGATTCTTTGCAAATTCAGTAGTGGATTCTTCAGGATTATTTTGACACATCTTACCCACATTTGTACACTAACAGAAACTTGGGCAAACTTTGTTGAAGCAGACTATAGTGGTACTTTCTGAGGCAAGCTCAAAAGGAGTCAGGACATGTTTTTAAATATTTCGAAGGAAGGGAGGGAGGGAGGGAGGGAGGGGGGGAGTGTTGGGGTTTTTTTCAGTAGCAAAGCATAGCATTCCATAGTGATGTTTCCTTTAAAAGTGCTTATAATAGGAAAAGATTATTATCATCACCATATACACATATATGCATGAGCAAACATATACCCTCTCTATAGACTGGCACTACATTTTCTTCTGTTCTTCCATTTGATTTGCTTGCCTTTAGGAGGGAATGATTAATGGGCACTCCACAAAGAGCCTTGCACAGCTATTCTATCTAATAGGGGTTAGCCTCTTCTGTAAGTCACCTACCTAACTGCACCAATGAGCAAACTCTAGAAGGGACGTTTCCACCACAGCCAGACTAAAGCCTGACAACTGCAAGCTAAGAATTAAAAAATAGAGGCATGAAAATGTACCTACAAATACAAAAGAATTGTGAAAGCACATTCAGACCTGTTTCTTTTTTCCTCTTTTCTGCAGATAAGACACACACAGCAAGAGAGTTAAATTACCCATACAGCTCTCAGTTACACTTATATTCACTTAACAGATGCCACATTTGGTAGATTGATTAGACTCATTATGACAGTGATTTCATTAGCTTAATGACTCATTCAGTTTACACTTGTTTTCCCTTTCTTTACCATACAATGTTCATATGTACCATACTTCAGTACAGTCCAATGCACCACAGAAACTCACATTTCCTTTTGGTGGACAGCATACTATGCAAATTAACTCAATTGCCCTTAAATTTGGGCCAGTAATGTCAAGGTGATGGGTCTGCCTGTTCTCATTCCTGGTGAAATAAATGTTCATAGGGGTCATCTTTATCTTCTGTCCACGTAGGTCTGGGGATTGAAAGCAGCTGGTCTCACATTTTCCCTCCCTGTTTCTAGTGATGCCTCCAGGCATCCAAGCTGCTCAACATCTATCCAACCATATTCTGAGAGCAGGAGACCTGTTATTCTCCTCAGGTCAAAGGACTGCACAGTCAGAGTGATTCTCCACAATGCAGTATTTGAAAGTTAAGACACTACCTCTGGAAGGTAAATGCTTGCTTCTAAATTAGGGCACCTCAGTTCCCTGTTGATGCAGAGGGAAGAGGGAGGTGACTCAGGAAGGGGCCCGGACAGTTCAGACTGCAACCCATAAGCCAGCCAACAGCAATGTCAAAGGGAAAGGTCTCCAAAAATTCTAGAGGCTGTCCCAAGATTCAGGGCTCAAACTGATTCCCTGTGCCCAGGTCTCAGTGGGTTCAAGCAGTGGCAGTGCTCATCACCTGCTTCAGCAGTAAGAGAGTGATGCTGCAGGTGCCTCTCAGCCCCACAGGGGTTGGACTCATGGCTCTGAAACATACCCCGCTCCCCTGGGTAGCGGTGGAGCAGAGGGGAAAAGGAGTGGGAGACACTCCTACCATCAAAGCTGTGACCTGAGCTGAATGCTGAAGGCTGGATGTATGCAAGGCTTGAGCGTGTCTATGGGACTGAGTCCTTCAGGGCACTGACACAGGCAGATGGCCTGGGTGGTGAACGCCAAATCATTTTTAGGTGGAGGACAGTGGTTCAGACTTTCAGACAAAAGTAAGTTGTCACGCATATGCTACATCTAGTATCTGGCAACTGAGTAAACTGTAGGGGGGAAGTTAGGATCTTCACTTAAGGACTTTCCTCTTAGCAAGTTAGGACAGAAATTTTAGGGCACTGTGAAATTTTAAGCATGAAAATTAGGCTTTAAATTGCTGTCTTTGCCTCAGTCTTACTTAGGATCTTGGCCTGCAAGCTAGTAACTCCTACAGTGAATCCTCTGCAGGTTCTAGATTGTGTGTGAGACACAGCTGGAGGGCTTTGATACAGGAAGGAGGTTTTATCTGATCAAATATAGACATATATTTCTAAACGAGTTGCCTAAGGCTCCATTTACAGTCACTGAAGAGGAACTTGGATCTCCTGGGCACAAAGTCGTCCTACTACAGAATCAAAAAGAATTTAGATGAATCATTCTGTAAAAAGGGTCCTTATTTCTCTCCATTTACTGTAACGAGAGCCCAGGCTGACTGGCTCATATGTAAACTCTACACTGCAGATGTTTAAAGTCAAGCAAGATTATTTCTAACCAAAGTGGACCACAAGTAACTTCCTTTTTTTTTTCCTAGATGGATGTTTGACTGGTCATGAGATTTGTTCTCTGTTTTCATTTAGTCATGTATTCAGCACTGCACAGGTATTCAAGATCAACAACCAACAAAGTTCATTTAACTCTGACCTTTCTCACCATGGTTTGCATATTTACCTAATCTACTGAACCTCATGTATGTATTACAAATAAGCATAGCCTCTACTAGAAAAGTAGCTTGGCTTTTACTGACAAAGAGAAGATCAGAACTACCTGTCACAGATACCCATTCCAAGGTCTGAAGTCAATTAATCATATGATCTGCACCCCAGACCACCCTGCAAATAATGCATCCTATGCAAATAATGTATGGTACGCCAGCTTCTAATTTAAGATATTGGTTTTGACCATTTCAAGCAACGCATATTCAGTGACCAATCCTAACAACTTTTAGGATGGAGTCATAAAGGCAGTCCCAGAAAATACACTGGGATGCTGCCACATGAATGGAACTGAAACACCAGAGCTGTTCATGTTTTAACATACATAATGCATATACACCCTGGCAGGCTTTCTCCACCTTTTCACACAATACCTGTTTGGATACGTGACATTAGGTGGTGCTCTTCCAGGGTAGTTCTCATTAAGCCATCGATTTGCAAGTGCCTGCTGGATGTTTGGTCTCTTTGCAGGATCTGGCTCCAGTAGAGATCGTAGAAAGTTTATGGCCGCTGTGAAGAAATCAAGAAAAAATCCCAATAGCTATGTCATCTGCTTTATGACTTAACACAGTAGTTGAGTTACTACAGGTGTGTAGCCTGACCAAGAGTATACTAAAAAGGAATGTTTCCCTTATGGTATGCTCTAATGTCCTTGAGAAAACAGAAAAACTGATAAGGGATTAGTAAGTAAAATAAAGAATGATTTAGAGTAACAATGATTTATAGAGTCATAAAGGAGAGGAGAAAAAGCACCTTTTGTTTCAGAGCTTGTTTGAAGTTTCTGAGCAGGTTAGCCCAAACTTAATTTTTGTATGCGGACAAGAGGCTAGAGTCAGGTCAGAGACAAATCAATCAACCTGTGTTTAAAGTAGGAGATGGACTGGGGGTGAGTGGAGGGGAGGGATGCAGAGCTGAGAGGGAACACATGGAGAATTGGACTCCCTTTGACGTTGTAAGGACAAATTCTCTCCTGCCATCCATCCAACCTACAATCAGTTGCAGGAGATGTTAGCCAAATTAAAAGAGTACAGTAAAATTAATGAGCTTCATTCTGTTTTCAGATACTGAACCTTCCACTTTCAGTGACAGTCAACCAACCCTCAGGAGTTTCTTGCAAAAACCCTCAAAAGTACTTTCCTGATATTTTTAAGTCATGCTTCTTAGATGGTTAGAAGCAATGAAATCAAGTGATTTGCTTAAAGACTCCCAAGAACTGCCTATCCGGGCTAGAAATAAACTCTGTTTTAACTAAGTTTGGTCTTTATTCCTCAAATTATCAAGGTTAGATTCAGTTTATCAGCTACAAGATAGTAAAGAGTTAACTATGTCCTCTACAGTTCCTTGCATGAAAAATAAAGAAACCTAATTCTGGGAAAACCAAGATTGGAACAATTTTGTAGAGGAGATACAGTCAAGTGAGACGATGCCAAATAAGTCCTGAATGAAGTCAATGGCAAGTAAGAAGCACAAGCGATGGCTGCGGCACAGTTTTCTCCAGGTCGGGTGGACAGGACCTTGGGGCTTTTTTTCCACCTTCTTCCACAGCAGAGCTGCAGTTCCTGTCCTACACTGTCCTGGATGTGTTGTGTCTATTTGTGTCCTTACAAGCGCAGGCACCCTGGGCAGTGGCAGCACAGGGACACTGTGGCACCAGATGGTGTCCTCTGGGATGTGTCTTCTGGGTAAGCTGCAGTACAGCCTTGCCAACACAGCTAAACTTCAGCTCAGCACAGGCAAAACAAACCCTTTAAAGGCTTGTGTTACAAAGCAGATCGAACTGGACGTGCTAACACCTCAGTGATAGAAAACCGCGAAATTATGGGCCGGTCTTCCCATTCGGCTTCACAGGCGTTTGGTCTCACCGCCGCGGCACGCTCGCTCAGCACCATGCCATCCCCTACTCTGAAGCAGAGCAGCCACGATGTGTCTTCTCCACCAGCAATGCAGTGAAAGCTTCGTGAATCTCACATGCAATTTAAGGAGAATAGTATGCCTGCTGGTGAGGCCACGATGTCCTCACCGGCAAAGGGCATGAACGTTAACTGAGGCACAGCGCCATGTTCTCCTCTATGGGGCTGCTGCCCTCCACCGTGTTTGCCTGGTTGTCCTCCTGAGCATTTGTATTTCCCCAAGCCCACACACATAACCCCCCACCCGCAGTACTGGACAGGATGGGTCAGGGCAGAGGATGAGGAAGGGAGGATTTCTCCTCAAGCAAATCAGGGCTAAACCTGATGGGAGCCAGCTCCTAACAGCTTGGGTAACCCCAGCATTCAACATCCTGCAAAAATCAAATATCAGCTGGAGACAGCCCTGAGAGGCTATCCATTTTGATGCAGGCCTACTGTTAAGAAGCTTATATGTGGGAGAGAATGAGTTACGATTATGTATTTACTGGTCCGACTAGGCATTGGCTGTTTTTTTTCTAAGCTCTCTCTTCACAAATTGGTGATTTATGTGAAATACTTTACTTAAATCTCTTCAACATTTTTGTTATTTTCCTACAACAGCAATATTGCGGAAGCAGCAGGAAAAGCCTACATCCAAGTTCATAAACCCAAGTGCCCCCCCCCGTCACGCCTCTCGGGCACAAAATCCCCCATTATGGCAAACAACAAACCCCTTCTTCTTCCATTTTATCTCCTCTCTCTCCAGTACTTCCCCCATCTCTGTGTTAGAAACCGCATGCATCCCATGGGTTCAGAGCAAAATCTACCCAAATCAACACTCTCCCCATCCATCACTACCATCCTCAGTCCCCAAACCAGCTCATGTCTCCTTAAAAATGTTACTTTTTTGTTTTTCCCTTGGCAAAAGGCAGACTAATTAAATGAAGTTTGTGAAGTATCACAGAGACCAACGGATCCAGACCAGGAGAAACTAACTCTGGAGAGAAGATCCCCCCTGGGATGCTTTCTGACTGGCCAGACCCGGGTGACACTGAGATGAGTACCAGCACCTTGGCTGATTTGAGCTGTCAGACAGTATGAGGAGGAGAGAAGCCTTTTCCAGTTAGCTGTGTGGCTATGGGACAGCAAAATCAGTCCCCCAGGGAGCAATCACGAAGTTGCCCACTCGATTTTTGGACCCACTGTGTCTGAAGCCATTTTTCCTACTGCACCAAGTAGGCTGGTGAACAAAGGGTGCTGTGAACCACCCCACCAGGGCCTCGTTACGTGAGGCCTCATTTACGATAAGCTTGAGGACAGCACTTATCTGCTTAGCTGGTGACCTGCACTTGGTGGAATTTTGTTCCCATTGTGTAATTTTGGGGCAAACTTTGTTCTTTTGACAAATAAGAGACCAGCATCATGAAAAACTACATTTCTCTCTTAAATTCCTTGAGCATACCAAGCTCAGTGATGACCAGAGCATGCTTCAGGTGGGGATTACAAGACCTCTGCTGTCTTCACGTTCCTTGTTCTTAATGAAACCAACTTAGTGTCTTGTTCACACTGTGAGGGTGTGCCTGGTTATAATCAGGTATACAGGTACCGCTTACAAAACCGTCCAGAGAAAATGCCATTTCACATGAGGTCATTTCCCAAGCCACGAGCGAGCTCCACCTCATAAAATCCTTCCTCCGAACTACAGGCATGGATAGACGATGGCTTTTCTTCTTGTCTGCAATCCATTTCTCTGTTCCAGAAGGAAGACCACGAGCATACAGAAGCGGTGAATTGAGAAAAAAAAAGGAATATGTGCAAGGTGAATACCAACTTCCTGAGCAACTGAACTCTGCTCACCTAAAATCAATAATCAGATAGCTGTGTTGTTTAAGAAGCTTAATGAAAAATGGTTTCCTAAATGGGAAAATCAAACGCTACCTCCAAATTTTCCCTGTTGCTACACAGTTGCTTTGGGCACTCACAGTCACCCAACAGTTTAACTAACACATATAAAATATACACTTTCTCAGTGATAAGACTGGCTACTTTTATGTTGGGACTGTATGTTCAGTAACTGTGAAATTAAATATTGAAAGACAATGTACCGAACAAGCAAAACAGACTCCTGCAAAAAATCTCTGCTCTATATATGAGTTTACAGAAAAAGAAAGCCCTATTAAAGAAAAACATCCATAAACCCAAGAAGTTAGCGAACACAATAATTCTCAGAGCAGATGAGCAGAGTTTCTACCTGCTGATCCAAACCCTAACCACGGCAAGAAAAAAAACGTCATCTTAAATCACAGTCTGCCATGTCAGTGAACGCACAAGGCCGTTGACTTAGATCAAGAACCAGTGTGTACCTTTGTTCACAGTGAGTAAAGGTTAACACGTTTAAATCTATTCCATTAATTTGCCGGCATGTCTGAAAGTTCAAGCTGCTATAGTTCTCACAGGACAAACAAAATACCATTTTCACTGGAGACCATAGTGTCAGTGAGCTACAAATGCTACAGAGACGCATTTGTGAGAAAATTTGATCTCCATTATAAAATGGTAGAATGAATGAAACAGTAAAATGAAACCTGTCAAAAGCAATGCTAACTTTTTTGCTACCCAAGGTCTGGTCCTCTTCAGGCCTTTCATGGGTGATTCAGCCTTTAACACATGAGTTGTCCCGGTGAAGTCAGTGAAATCTCCCACTTAAAGATGATTGAAATAAAACGATGATGGGGGAACAGTCCACTGGTTCAAAGACACTACACAGCCATCATATAACTGTTCTTTATTAGTAAAAGCCTCACTCTGGGAGTTACATTTGGTAAATTTTTTGCCCAACTTGGAAAATGTTTCCTATGACATTGTAAGTCCCTGAATTCAAGAGTAACTTTGTAATTGATGCAGCATTTGGCAGCTAGATCAGTACAGCATAAAGCAGTCAGTATAATCTTTCTTTTAATTTACTCAGTGGGGCTTTAGAGCGTGTGCTAGAACATTAAAATAGCCATTTTGTGCAACTGAATCCTAACAGGAAGTCTCTAGAATGGAAATACCAAATACTCTAATTGCGTCAAATAGATGGCAAGACTTGCAGCATCCCAGCTCACTTATAAACCTACCACTTTACAACATGCCAGCAATATGAACTGCTGGCAGGAAAAGTGTACTTCATACAGATGCTGAATGAACAAGGAACAACATGCTCCACTTGATCCATGGATAACCTGTGTGAGAAAACCCTTAACTACCTACTTCTTCCATATGCAGGTAAACCCGTACTTGGGAGATTTCATCTTGTGACACAACTTCCAAGGGCTTTTTCTTATACCCTGTAACAATGGTTGCCATCCTTAGTGTACTGAGTGAAATGTATGCTATGTTACCCTTTTTCTATTCGCAATCTTTTAATTTTATTGAATGTCCCTTGTAAACAGGCTGCCAGATAAGAAGAACAGAAGCTGTCCACGAACAACAAATTTAGCATACAAAAATAAAACCCAACTACAAAACAGAGTTTGTTCCAAATGCTGAGAACGGTCTTGCTATAAGCTGAAAAATGATTCTGTTGCCTAGTGACATGGCTCTGAAGCAGGAGTTAATATTTCTAATACTAATACATCAACAATTTTGCATTTTGTGAACACACAAAGGTTATCAAAGGTCACTGTACCAAAATAACTTTCTGTGTGCATGTCATTATTTCATAATAAATGTGAGGTCATTTGAGGTAGCTTATCAGTCAACCCTAATCGTGATAATGCCCAGGAATCTGTTATTCCAAATTAATGTGTTCATGTATCCATACCTTACACTAAAATCATCTGAATGTGCAAAAATGACCAACTACTCTAGAAAAGCAATTTCACAGAATTTCACAGGTTTATTCTTCTCTCATATTCAGCACAACTTGGCATTTCTTCAGCTTACATACAGAAGTCAAAGCAAAAGGAGTTCTATTACAGCAACTCCTGCAGATCTTTTGGAGGCTAAAATGAAAAAAAGAGTATTTTTCACAATTAGCATGCCATGTCAGTAGCATGACTCACAATCCAGAATTCAATTAAATGGTTCTGACCAACTGGATATGAACAGGTCTCAGCACACCCCCTTGATTACCTGTAGAGAGCTGGGTGGGAAAAGGGTTCATTTCTTTATCCACCATTTTCTGATATAAAGCTCTCAAGCTGAATGGCTCCACGGTAAAAGGTAATGTTCCAGTCAACATTGCGTACATGTTCACCCCACTGAAATAAAACATAGAGAAAAAGAAACCAAAATGATGAGGAACAAGGAAAAACTTAGGCTAAGGTTTTAGTGACTGTACTTGATCTTTAATGTCTGACAGCTACTAAAAAAGACCAAAAAAAGCTCTCTCTCCTGTTGCGTACAATGATTTGGGCAAGAATTCCCAGAGTTTTGCTCACGGAGGGTCACACAATGTGTAGGACATAAGCTGGGAGCCACAGAACAGAGCCCAGCTCTTAGGCAACTCCTCAGCTAAATGCCACGCCACAATTAAGTCTTTCCTCAGGCTGCATAAACATGCTGCAGTTGGAGACCTTGTCCTGGTGCTGCCCTGGGTGTGGAATGACTGCCTGCACCAACGGGGACATTGCAGGTCCTGGTTCAGCACGGAATGGTGACCTCCATGCCCTCTGGTGCAGTCCAGAGCTTAGGTGTGAACAATTAATTTTTCAGAGCAGAAAACTTACTGCTTGTTTAAGCACAAGCAAAGTCAGCAATGAAAAGTGGGTTGGGTACTCTTGTTCTTTTTCCTCTTAAAAGGACTTTAAATTCAATTTGACTGGAATTCCTCCCTTTTGGGAATTTGTTTCCCTGGTCTGCTGAATACATGCATGCGAACAGAAAAAAACTAAACCTGTATGATGTCATGAACTGTGATCACAGACACCATTTGTTCAGGTATGAGGAAGGGTAGGAGTTAATGACATTTTCTTTCTTTATTAAAAAGAAAAAAAGAGCAGAACATTATTACTGGAGAAGTTTAAATGATTTACAAGAATGACTGTGCTCTGTTTGCCTGCATTTCTCAGGGCTGGTACTCTCAACTTGATGTGGACAGATGGCCCACTGCTGGAGTGAGAAATTCAGTAGCCATACAGTGATCTAGGTGTGGGTCTCCTCGGAGGACAGACTGCAAATGAGGCTTCAGCAGGGGAAGTTCTAAGAGTCTTGAGGAACAACAGAGTACCCACTGGATCAAACTGAGAGATGAATTTGACCCAGGTGCTAGTCTCATATATAAATGATGGCCAATCTGTTTTAGCACTAGTAGTACTCATACCATGCTTTACGTCTTCCAAGCATTCCAAATACTTCAACTTGGGAATTGTCATAATTCTGTTATTTCATTGAATGCCCGTTGAGGGAAAATCTATTGATACTAAAGCAAAAGCTAAAACTCAACTGACTTCAGTTAATTCCTCTCCAGGATTGGTAAGTATAACTGACACCATGTCCATGGCCAACAGGAGGGCAGTGGGAGGTGCACAGTCTAAAACCATACTGCAGACAAATTAATTGACTCCAAACCATCTTTCTGGCTTCCTCTACCTCTGGCATGGGGACTTCTGTCCTCTTGCCTGAACACTAGTAAGCTCACAAAGGCTCACAAGTTTTCTGGCCATTTTTGTTTCCCCTTTAATGACCATGGATTCAAAGTGATGACCTGACTCAATTTCACATTTCTCGTCGGACTTGACTGTGGATAGTGCATGGACCCCATGTGTATGATGGAGGATCCTTTGGGGAAAACTAAAAAAGCTGTTGGTCCTCTTGTGCCAAAGCCATGTCTTCTACTATGTCTGAACATCACTGACCAACAGTTGTGCTCTACTGCAATCCCTCCATGATATATGTTCTAGCAATCTATATACAGGTATGTAAAGATCTAATTCAAAACAAGGTATCTGTGCAACATAGTTCACAGAGTTACACTAATTAGTTTTTCTTGCTCAGAGTAGCCAAATACATTAATAATGTTTCACATTTCAGCAATGGTTAACAATGACAGTAATAACAATTATAAACTAGAGAAGTAACTTACATGGACCAAACATCTATTTTGGGCCCATATTTCTTCCTTGCCAGAAGTTCAGGGGCTGCATATGCTGGGCTCCCACACTGGGTGCTGAATGGATCAGAATAACCCAAGATGCCTGCACAGTTGCTCAATCCAAAGTCTGTGAAAGGCACAGAGACAGAGTTATGAAAGAGACAGATACAGTAAAACCATGCTAGAACACAAGGAAAAAAAACCACAATTTTCCAAAAGCTAAGCAATGAACTGACTAAGAAAAAAATCATCCACATGCAAAAATTTTACATAATTTGTTTCTCTGAGGTGCTAAATAACCAGAGATTTCCACAAACAATAAAAAAGTCTTAGAACGTGCAAAATTATCAATTTCATACACAAAGCTACTGTATTTCACTGGGAACTGTATGGCAACAACTGGAGTTGAGCTTGACCCAGGCACTGTGTGGCGAGCACAGGGCAGAAAGCCACCTCGGGCTGCCGTGGATTCCATACTGCTGCAGTATGCTACATAGAGGCCAAGTTTAAGTGGGACTTCTTCAACATTTTCCTCTAGATCACGTAAATGAGCCATCAGATGTAAGGCGGGCGGCGGGGGGGGGGCAGCTTTCTGGGACTGCTGTGGTGATGCAGAAACACACAGGGTTGCAGAGTCAGCATTTCAGCTCTTAAATAACACAGGGAGATCTTGGAGCAAGAAGGGGAATGTGCTGATTTGGCTCCTCCCTCCCTGGCTTCTGCCTTGAATTATTGTATTTCTGGCCCCTGGGTGTATCTGACACTGGCAATAATAACAAGGGACTGGCAAAGGCTGGCACCGTGAGCTGATCGGAGACAAGAGGCAGCCTCTCTGCACTGAAGGAGGTTGCAGTTTCCCAAGTGCTCTCAGCCAACTGAAGCCCAGGCTGGCGCCGAGAAGGGTGTTCCTGCAATCTCCCTCGTCTGCTCTAGTGCTGGCATGGCTGCAAGCTGAGCTGGGTTTAAGAAAGGGTCTTAAAAATTAAACCAAGCTGTTTTTAAGAAAGGGTCTTAAAAATTAAACCACTATGCAAGGAAAGAAAGGCAGACAGAGTTGCACCAGCAGCAGAAGCGGCTGGGGGCAACGTGCAAGCCAACCCTGTCTAGTGGTTGCCCATGCGTGGCTTGGGAGAAAGCAATTATGAAACCACTGCCTGAGAGGGCAGTGAGTAGAGGTTGAAGAGGGTCTTGAAAGTGAAGCCAAACAACTTGATGTGATAAGGGGAGGAAGCAAGACAAGCTTGCAAGGAGGAGGATGACGTAGGCAAAACTGACGGGCTAGGAGAATGGCCTTTGCTGCAGGGCGACATATCAAGCAGCAGAGGATCTGGAGAGGTCACAATCAAAGTTGTCTGCAATTATTAGTAACTTGTTACTGATGACAGCTGCAACACAAAAATACAACTATTAAGAACACTGACATCTGTTTCGTTCCTTTCTTTTTTTTTGATCTTCTTATAAATTCCCAGAATGCATGCATATTTAAAATTAAAGCTGTCTTAGACATAAATGAGGCACTCAGAAGAAGCAGACCTCTGAATCCCCTTCCTATAGGTTTGCATCTTGCATCCACGTGTCTCATAAAACAGCAGCTTTCTGGTGTGCTCCCCACCTGCTTGGGTGAGCTAAAAGCATCACGTCTCACAGGTCAAATGTAGCAGGCAATTCTTGAGCCCATGCGATACCCTCTCTCCACAGTCATTAATCTGGATCTCTCTCCCTTATCTGTCTTCTTATTTGTGTAAGACTTGAAGTAACTGCCTGTCCTTTAGCTTTTACCCCATGTTAAATCTGGCTGAAATCAGACAGGAGTTCCTCAAGGTATTAGAAGTGCCCTGACAGGGTAGTCACATAAGCCTCGTTCCCTTACAAAACCAGGCAAAAAAATGATAATGGTTACAAAAAAATGCAATTATAAAGATGACTGTGTGAGCCGCAGTGCCCAACTGGCTGCACAGTGCTTTCCACTCGACTGGCTGTGTCTCTGAGAGCAAGACAAGCACAAGAGACAAGAATCACCATATTTAACATCTAAAGAGGCTCAAAGGGGTTTTGCTGGAGACCATTGTCAAAACTGAAGGGAGGATCAAGACAATTTCCTTGCCTCTGATGAAAAAAAAATTGTCTCTGGACACTGCTTAATCATCTCTGCTAGATATGTATTATCCCCAGGGCTTACACAAATACTTCCAAGGATCCATTTACTTAATTAGCGTATTTATTAGCTATGGCCCAAGATGAGTTATGGCAACTGTAAAATACTTTTTAAAACTCCTAGAAATAGTATCTCCACACAGTATTATTATGACAAATGCACATGGTCTTTGACCTACTGTGTCATACCACCTCAAAATTACTTGACTGTAATATAATGTTTTATGATCAAAGTATATAAGGGCTATATTCTGAGATGGTGTAAATCAGCATCCCTTTATCATTATCAATGGAGGTATACTCTAGTGAAGGTTTTCATTATCTTATTTGCTTAAACTATAAACACCTTATTCACTTTTTCCAGCTCATTCATTTAATCTAGACTGGTATATTCATATTCTTTTTTTCTAATGCCTGTTGAAATGCAAAATGCATAGAAACACATGCATATCGGGGACAGGGATTTTATCAAAAAAGAAACGGGAATATTTTTATTAACACTGTGGCAGCACATCGTGATCACTGTGTGATTTTTATTAAGGATGCACTGCTGATCTTGATAAGAACAGTATTACCACCAGCATTGATAATTTCACTGCCATTCCTGCCTCTGTCTTGGGCTTCCTTTCAATAAGCCGAGCTAATTACAGAATTCAGATCAAAGGCCATACTTGGTTTTCCAAAGTAAATATTATGACATGGAAACTCCACCACCCCCACTGTTCATACTATCAAAGTATCGCATTACACCACTACTCTTTAACGCCTCCAGGAAATCAACATTAAGTTATGGATATATGGCTATCTCTGAAGCTGTGACAGTCGGAATAGGGAAGGAGTTATGAAACAGCAGAAGCCTTAGCACCAAGAATGTGGACAAGTTTGACCAAGCAGAGCTCCACAGAACTCAGTACAGCCACGTATTGGCAGGGTCCTTTTGGTGTCATAGTTCCTTGAGCAGGACGTCAAGGACTTCACATGGGCCATGAGTGGCTTTTCATGGCATCTTTATTAGACACCTACCACCATGGGCTGGTAGGTGAAGAGAAGTGAATTATTTCCAGCATTTCCAAGCCTGATGTTCCTAGATTTGAGACTTAACAGACATCTAAGAATAAGTCCAGTTAACACAGCACAGGGAATTTTTCTAACAATGGTACCTAAGAACATATTATAAACCACCTTGTCACATAGCTAAAAAGAGTAACAAAAGCAAGATGCTATAAGCGGCTGGGTGAAGAAGGGGACTCAAGGGATTCAGTTCTCACTGAAATGCATGAAAAAGCAGGGATTTTCAGTGTCACTTCCTGGTACATTTTTAATCTTCATTTCACCTTTTCTTTTTCCTTTATGGTGGGTTTTCCTCATTTCACAGTTATTACAAGAGCAACATTAGGTACTAGTGTGTTTGCTGCTACACAAGACACGGAGACCAAGCTCCCCCCCCCAGAGCAGTTAATGTGAGCTGGTTTTGTAGCTTAAAGTCTCTTCTCCCAAGCATTAAAAGCAGCATATAATTCCTCAAAACATGTTCTTCACGCCCAAAGAACCTTCCTGGGCAGGACTATGTGATGACACAACTGATCCATCCCAGTTCTAGAAAGACAGACTACATACAATATTGTACTAAGTGCTGAATGAGCTGAGCAAAGGAACAGGCAGGGAGGAGGAAGAGGAGTAAATTATCTGGTCTATAAATTATCTGGTCTGTTCCAGCAGCCGCAGATGGTGCTGGAAAATTTTCCTTGCCCTGGGAAACCCTGATGGCAATGGAAGGCTGTGCAGCAGTTCAAGCACTACTTCTGCTACCACCTGGAAAAGAAGTGATGGTGAGGAGGGGCTGCCCAGGGACCTGAGGCCAGTTTCTGCAGCCCCCACTCCAGCTTTGCCCGCAAGCGTAGCAGACAAAGCATGAAGAACAGAGGCACTGCTTCTTCAGGGTGAACAACCAGAGATCACCAGCATTGCTAGAGAGATATGGCATGAGCCAACTGTGATACTAAATCTGTTTTTACTTACAGTAAAATTATTACAAATCAAACAACCTTTATTTCCCATAACATACCCAGTTGGACGGTAGGATTTAATTGCTTTGTTTTAAAATACATACTGTGTACAATCTGCTTTGCTTAAAACATCAGGCTGCGGACCTGAGAACAATTTATTTCAACACTAGCGAGGCTATGGAATATCGAACTGACTTCTCCATTCTTCCCACACCACCCACTGTGAGGAGACCTTTCTATGCAACTGAAGCAAATGAAACGCAGGAACAGTTCTGAAGTAATTTTTTAGCATGCGAGTTTTAATTGTACACGTCATCTGATTAGGTCTGGGTTTGGATGTCAAGTTCACATACTTTTTTGTAATCAAACATCCAATAACAGGAAAGTTATAGAAATTCTTTAAATCAGATGTTCATATAGTGCTGTTGCAAACCATCTGGTCTCACTTATCTGCTAAATCAAGATAATGGGTGGTATCCATCATTACTGATGAATGATTCATGGTAACATATCGGTATCCTCTTGACCCGTAGCTGAGGTAATGCAGAGTTCTCTTTTGCTGTTATTTTTCCAGAGTCAGTTGATTCACTACAGAGTAATGACTTAAAGTCGGGGTAATATTTCCAAAGACTGAATTCCCTAAGTAAACTCTGAATATTTCAGATTTCATTAACCATCCTCCTCTTGTTTGTTTGGAGATGCATGTGCTTTATACATTACAGTGAGTGTCCATTTGACCTGAATGTTAAGTGTTTTTCATCACTCTTCACATCATGAAACCTTTCAAAGAAAGTCAGTCAGTTGAGTTTTTATGTCTGCAACCACAGACACTGCTGTTGGCAAAAGTGTAGGCATGAAGATAAGTATAAACAGATGTTTGGGGTTTATCTTACGAAGGGAATATTTTATTTTCAATGCCCACATTAACATTAATGGGAGTTAGGCAAAGGCAGTGAGAGACTATACCCGCTGATGATTTATCTAAAATGTCTGCACAACTTGAATGAATCAAGCGTTGCATACAACTGATACTCAAATACAATCAAGACTCTATCATTGATCTTTTTTATTTTTTAACAGCCCTCTAAACCAAATTCATATTGGGTGCTGGAAGCAAACTTAACAAATATAAATATAGGACCAAATTTTGCCAGCTGCTAAAAATGCATGCAACTCCCACTGACTTCAGTGGAAGCATATGCATATGGGGGCAGAATCCAACCCTTAGTAAATATGAAATTATCAAGATAATAAAATAAATTACTTCTGTGGTGTCAATTCTTTAATTCTTTACAAAGTTCCCAATTTGAATATGAAAGCTATTGGTTAAAAGATGTAGGATTATTCCCATACCCGGTTAAAGCTGAATTATTTGGAACATTTTTTTCACAAGATGCTGTCAGGAACAGCTTGATTGCTATCTATACTCTCTCAGCTCCTCTCTGCAGCAACATTAGCAGTTGTCACATGAAGGATTATGAAGTCTCAGAAACTCTCTTTATAAAACTACCAATTTTAATTACTGGAATTGCCAAACTGGTTTCATACCAATAAGCTTGATATTGTTGTCTTCATCTAGCAACAGATTTTCTATCTTCAAGTCTCTGAAAGAAATAAAATATTTTGAGTGAGCCTCCAAAATGATGAAGCAGCTTCTCATCACTCTTATCAGTGTATTTACAAGATTCATATATAATAACGCATGTAATGAAAGCAGCACACACAGTTCCACATTCAAAGCAGAAAGCCCCATGCATTGTCTCCTCTCCAAAATTACCAGTGCCTCCATATCCCATTTCACACCTATTCTTCAGGCACAAAATGACTTTAAACACATTTGTCAACATCCTGTAATTAATCAGGTTCTTCAAATTTCTCACATACTTAGAAGTTTGTAGAAATCTTATACACCGGAAACATTTCAAATATATGATTTTGGAACTGGAGGTCACTTTTGCATTATTCTTCACAACCAAAGGCTCTTCACTGGCCACAGCTGAAGAATAAACCTTCTTCTGCAGAGATGTGAGGAGTCAAACATCTGTCCTCTGCTACTGTCTACAAGGGGGAACAGAATCAACATTCCCTGGGGATGAAGCATCCAAACTCCTTATAGAGGTGGTCAGCATTGGCACTCCCACATGCTAGAAGTGAAAGCTGAGGCTGAGGGATTGAAATGACTTGCCCAATGCCATCCAGAAGGCCAGTAACAAAGTCGAGAGAAGATGCCACACAAGTCTTCTGAGTGCCACATTAGTGCTATCTCCACCATGGCACCCTGCCTGACCCCACAGAGCCACTGCACAGATCAGGGCCTGGACCAGTTTTGAGAGAGAGAGGACGAAATGAAAGCGGTCTCCTTCTACGAGATGACCCACCCTTCTTCTGATATGTACCTCAGCGCATTGTTCACTTTACATGTGCCCTTTCGTCACTTAAGAACAGAGTTAAGCTTTCCTAAACCATGTTCTACCTATGAAAAATATCACAGAGATCACCCCCAAACGCACACAAAAAAAAACCAAAACCCCAAACTCTACAGACTAACCATTAAGTATAGTATAATAAGAAAAAATCATTTAGGTTGCTACACAACTTGTCCAGGACTTCTAGCAGTTGGCTGTGTCTTTATCACAAGAATTCTTCCCCCATCCAGACATAAAATGTTTCTAACAATCAGCATGCCAGGATAGCAATAGCTCAGATGGGCAGCGATGCTTCTCCCAGCATGCTTCAGAAAAATCTGGATAATTAAGTCATCAGCTATAATTATGGGAAGTCAGTGACATCCATGGTATTTTGCCTTTGTAAGGCAAATGGAGTAATGAAGGATGCCTCTATTGCAGATGAAGATATAAGGCTTTATAAAATAAGACAAGTAAACCAACCAAACCAAACAAAGTACTTCCACAAGAAATCATCTGGGAAAGAAAGAAAAATAGCTGCGGCCAACTCCAAGCCTTTTTTAAAATGTTCCTCTCCATTTCATTTTATGCCCATGCTGTGTTTCAAATAAACCCAAGGCAGAAGAGTACTTGCAGGTAGGGTGCCACTCACTTCATCAATACAACCACAAGGATCTTCTCAAAACAGATGTTTCTACACCCCACTGAGCATTTATTGCAGATTTTCCTTGCTTCACGTGTGAAAAGAAATAGGGGAAAACCTATATAAATCTACCGAAGGAGAGCATTTTGCAAATTTCAGGTATTCAGGGGCGATATCCAGGCTTTCCTAGAGCGTCCAGCTGAACACTTCCCGAGGAGAGGACTGCCTTGTGCACCAGCCCTTTTCTCAGAGAAGCAATGTAACTCAGTCAATAAATTACCAGCCCAAGAGACAGGAGGAGGGGATTATGTTCCCTCTTCTGGCAACAACCCCGTGTGTTAACTGGAGGAAACCATCCATGTTAAAAGCGACAGCTAACTTCATCTACCACAACAGAGGTGTAACCACACTTGACCGTGTTTTGACCAAGACCCAGCCTACACAGAGCCCACTCTCCAGCCCTGCTCCCGCTCCAAGGGTGAGCACTGGCTCCAGACCGTGCAACCCATGAGCCTGGCTGGCACCCACGGCATCCCTCTCCTCATCTGCGGGAGACTCCACGTGTCACGACGGTGCTGCAGGCCCACTGCCCTTTGTCCTCCAAAATGAGCTTCCCTCGTACGGCAACGGCTGCTGCTGAGAAATGGCTTGATACAAGGAGGATGTGCCCTGCCAGATGGATCCGGATCAACCCACTTCTGCGTCCCTCTCTACTGCCAAAAAAGGGTTTATTTCTTCATGGTTCACGTCTTTATTGCTTGCAGGTGGAGTTCTCCACAGATGGTGCAATTAGTCTCTAGAAAGATATCGGGTTGGGGAATTTAACAGGAGAGACTGCCAAAAAAACAGTATGGGGAAAAAAAAAAACAAAAACCCAAAAAACTAAACTGAAATCAACAGAAGCACATGGAGCTTTGGGTCATACACTGCAATGCTCACTGCAACATCTCAAAGCAAGGAGAAAGACCATTTGGACGCTCTAACTGTATTAAACAGTAACTAAGAAGAGGTAAGATTTTAAAAATAAAGGGAACAGAAAGATGAAAACTGTGAGCTGAGGAGAAGAGACATACAGGTAATTAGAATAATACATGAGTGACAGAAGGGCTAAACATAAACACAAGAAAAGATATCTAAAAGGATTCAAGGTTAAAAAAATAAAACTAAAGGTAAAAATTACAGGGCTTTCAGGGCTTTTTAAAGCTATCAGAGAAAAAAAATAAAAATTTAAATATAGCCTCAGTAGAGACTGCAATCAAACCTAGCTGATTAAATATGTTTACCCATATGCCTATTCTCAGTAGATTTGCTGGTAAGTGGTAACCGATCTAATAGTCCATATGCACATTTTTCTCAGCCCATGTCAATATGCAAGCACTTCTTTTCAGTGTGACACCGGGAGGTAGGACAACGGGTTTTTACTCCTTGATAGAACCTAACGAGAAGATTCCACGCGAACTAGCCTTAGAAACGTGAAGCAAAAGCCGTGCAAAACCAAACTGAAATTCCCCAGACAAAGCCACAGCTGGAGAACCACTGCCATGCAGACGTGGGCCTGCGGGTGGGCACGGGGCAGCCCCCCCCCCGCAGCCCCATCCCCTGCAGCAGCCTGGCAGTGGGGCACAGAGGTGGCAGGTACCCGCAGCCAGGACAGCAGGAGCACCAACAGGGCCTGCGCATCTGGGCAAGATCTGTGGCCATCAGGACAGAGAGGTTATTGAGCGAATAGTTTAGGTGACTTAACGCATCAGCTTACCCACCGTTTCTTTTTGACAAAAAGTGCAGTGGTACAATCCAATTACATGTCTGCCTTAGGCTCATCCTGCAGACAGGACTGATTTCCCCAAACTTTCTGAATGCTTTATTATCTCAGTTCTCTCCAATTCAAACTTTAATTATTTTTTACAGAGAGAGGCTTATCTGAGTTGCTGCTTTGTTTGACTGTTTACGTTAATCCATTGCAATGGAAAAAGGAGCACCGCTGCACCCAGAAGAGTTAGGTAACCCTGAATTTCATGCACTATATTATAAATAGTTTAACAATTAAAATCAAACATAGCACCTTGTTTATTTTAGTCAGTGAAGGTTTTTTGCATGCTTTTAATAGCTGCATACTGTAAGAGAGAATGTGAGTTACCAGCTACAACACACACAGCAACTGAAGTCGTGGCTGAAGTCAGTGGGAAGAACCAGAGCACTGAACATCAGGTACACATGCTGGTCCCTGTGGACTCAAAGGTCCTCGCTTTTGTACGTGGCTTGCCCTTCTTGGTGGGCTCCTAGAGCTGGACACAGCTGCTTTGCCACTGGAAGGGCTGGGCAAGCCCTCCCTTATGCCAGCAGCATGTGCCATGCCACATGGAGTTGAAGTGGAGAGGAGAAATGCAGTTGCTGGAGACCTTCAGTTTCCCTCCTTGAAGTAAATCTGATCTTGTTCCTTATTGTCACAGCTCCTCAAAAAATAGGACCGAAGGATTATTTTGTTTTTTCCCCTTAAGCAAATTTTTGGCATTCATCGCTGAAAAACTTCAAAATACCCTCAGTGATTAAATACTAAAGGAACAACGAATCTTACCTTTTCCTGCGGGGTTAGTTCCATGATGCTGAGAGTGTCTAACTATGGTACAAGTTAGTCAACTCTATGAATAATGAAGACACTCAAGAAAGATCAAGCTCCATTACCACAATGTGGAGAATCAGCATATATTTATGCCTTGTCAGCTTGTGAAGCTAGCAGCATACAGTCAGCATTCTCCGTATCTGAAAATACGCCTTCTTCACAGGATGGTTTGTTTGGGATTTTGTTCTGCTGTTGATGGGGCTGATTTGTCTCTGGCTTTGCTTAGAGCTTCACAGACCACCTTGGAAACCCCAATTCCAGTCAGTGTCTCCACCGAGCAACACAAGCCTGATCTACTGAGTGAACTATCCCAGGCTTCAGCTGTCAGCTCAGCGTGCTTTTGAAAGAAGCTTATTCAGTGCCATTGCAGGCTTTAGACAGCAAAATTTAAGTTTTTGCATTTCACGCTTTATTTCTTGTCTGGGGGAGGAGGGATGAGAAGGAAGGTTTTACCAGCAAGCAGCTGCAAAGCAGCAGTTGTTGGCTGCTGTCTCTTGCATCTTATTTTTAATCAGAGCAGAATCACAAAAAAATGACTCCTTAACTATCACCTGCAAACCCACTTTCTAGCCCCATGCAAGAGCCAAAGATGAGTTGGAAAGGTTGAAGAGATTTGGATTCATCATCACATCAATATATATTTCAAAGGCTTTGTTATCAAAATATTATTTATGGAGCCCAATTCTTCTATCAGTCACAACGTCACTGAATTAAATGCGGTTGCCTCTGTAAAAGAGGCATTCAGTCTATTGTCTTCACTAAAGCAATGTTTAGTTTGTTTACAGCAGAGCACTCCAAGAGAGAATGCCCAAAGGTAATTTTGAAATCTGACATAAAATAGAAAGACAAACCAGCTTTGCACTTCAAAAGGAGACTTTGTTCTGTAGTGCAGTATCTGTCATAAATATTGCATCAGCAGCCAGCCTACTGGCACTTAAAATTAATAGGATGGAAGTTATCAAAGCCAACATGTCAAAGTAGTGGGTACCAAGGCAGGAATCCTGTAGCACCCTGAGCAACTGGGTCATATGGCACCACCTCACTCTGCTAGAGAAAGAGATCATAGAAAGATATAAACTCCACTCAAAACCTTAGGGTTTTTGGTATCTTTCAAACTCCTCATCCACTTTTAATTATAAAATGGCAGTGGAAGTTACGAATATGCTGCCAGGAAGACAGAAAAAGGGGGAATACAGAAAGCTATCTTTGCTACCAATACATTATTAAATTATTTTCTTTGACATCCTGACAGTAATTGCACTGAATGGGATTGAATTTTGTTAAAATTACTTTAAAAGGGTTGTTGAGAATTTCCTGTGGGATGTAGTGGCAAGCACCAAGGCTTTCACTTCATTTTCTCTGTTGTCCTTACACTCCCAAGGGGCTTTATTGTTCTTCCTGCTTTGTGACAGCATGAAGACCTATGTAAACGCCCTCTGAAAAGAGAAAGCTTCACCAGATACTGCCATTTGGGTTTGTTTTCCTCTGTCAGAGGGAAAGATAAATATTCCTACCTGATTCACAGCTGAGCTTGTTGCAAGTATATTTTTAGCAACCAAGCAGCTCTGACAGAAGGAATGAAACACAAATGATTACATGCAATTATATATAGAATAGTGGCATTTCTTTTTTCAGTAAGTGGCCAAGGAGTCCTGAACACTGGACACCCCTCACTGAAGATGCAGCTCCTGCACTCACGAACTTGCAGTCTTCATTCTTCGTAGCAGGTAAAATATTTATAATTTAAAATGCATCTATACAGTCAAATGTAAGTTTTGGGGTTTTTAACCTCCCTAAATAAAATTAAGTTTCTTGAAGTTTTTTAATTTTAGGCTGTTTGCACATCAGTGCCTCTTAAAAGAAGCATTTCCATATGTTCTGCGACCCAGCTCTTGTCCAATGATCAGCGTGCTTTGCTACCATGCCAAATCTTGACTGTAAGTTGTGAAGTTTACTGAGTAATATTCATCAAATAATGTAACCAAATTTCATGCAACTTATCTAGATTTTTTTCATCCTGAGTTACAGAACAGGGTAAGTCATCTATATTATTCCCCGAACAAAGCAGACAAAACCAAAAATTTTTTACAATAAAATAGTCAATGAACACTTTTCAATGTCCTGGCCCATTCAGTGTGAATGATGAAAGCATTTGCAGAGACACAAACAGTAGACTGCTTTCTGGCCTAGGATGCTGTGTTTTGTTTCACACGCGGTGAATGCAAACGCCCACAGATCGCCATGTAGATGAAAGTGCTGTTATTTTTACCTGCTTTAAAAATAACAACAATAACAACAGAACATTGCCATTTCATCCAGGGTGAGAATGAATCAGACTTCTGCACTACTTTCTCTCCCTCTTCAGTTGCCAATTGAGTAGTTTGTTTTTAGAGTTGCCATGTTCAAAAGCCTGAGATGCTGAAGGACAACTCCTGAGGTAACTATTATTCTTTCTCCCTCTCTTGCTTTCAGAGAGCCAGAATAAGTCTGGATCATGCCACCAGTGTTTTTCCTGCATCTCGACACTGCTCTACATACTTTTTTTTGCAGAATAAGTCAACACATTGAATGGTTAAGCTAGAGAAAATACTTTCAGATATACTGCCTGCGATTCTGTCAAATTTTATCAGTTTAAACAGAAATGGACCTGCTCATTACCCAGATGGAAGACTCCCAAGTACAAGCTCTGTGCCACGCTGTGATGTGAAAAATGGAGTGGATGGAGTATGCTGCCTTTGGGGTAAGGATTAATCCAATGGCATGGGGCTAGACAGACAGAGCTCAGCTGCCAGATGCAGCAGAGCATGTCAATATTTCCAGGGCTGCTTCCTCCCTCTGCTCACAAAGGCCCCTCACGCTTCAGTCCCCGTGAGCTGTGCTTACATTCACAGAGACAGCAGAGAGAAAGAAGGGGTGAGAGCCAAAACTGCTGCAAGCATGCAGCATCCATACGGGAACTTGGGCTTCCTGGGCTCACCGTCTCTCTGGACCCCAAAGCCTTGCCTTCCTCCTACCACAATACCCTGCTGATACTAGCTTGTACATAGTGAACATGTAATTTTTGTACAAAATGTACATTTGAACCCTCTCTGAAAAAGAAGGGAATCAAAACCAAGCCTAGCAACCCCTCAAAAGTGTTTCAGCCACTATGAAGAGGGTACATTTTTCAGAGAGAGGAACTGCTGATGAACTTAACCGCTGTTAAATGCTAAATGGAGTCATCTTGTTCCTGCCGGGTTTTCCTCTGCCCTTCTCAGAAACTTTTAATGTTTTCCTTCCTATCTCTCTTTGTATGTACCAGATATCAATTGATCCTTTAGAGCAGCAAGTAGACTTCTTCCTTTTCCATACCCCAAACTGTGGGGTTAATAATTTAAAGAGGTCAGCAGTTTAGCTGCTGATAGACAACCTGCAGAATAGGCCTGGTGGCTGTTCAAATATTTATAGTACAGTGGTACCAGAAATTTAGCTCCAGACAGGACCGCCGTACCCCTGAGGTTGAATGTGCACGTAGCACGGAGCCCTAATGGATCACAGCGAACACGCAGAGAGATTCAAGACAAAAGAAGCAGTTTCAGAGCATACGTTGTTCCACCAAGCCAGATGCACCCAACAGTGCTGCGCAGCGGTAGGCAGCTCAGCACACAGCTGGGCACAGCTGGAGGAGCTGGCTGTGGGCTGCCTTCAGGCAGTTTGCCAGCTGCCTGCGCAGCAGCCCTGTGGACCGGCGTGTACAACAGCTCTCCATCTTCTACAGAGTCAGTGAAGCCAAGGAAATTATAACCAGATCCTCAAAACTGTTCAGGTGTCTAGTTCCTGCGGCGTGCCTACATAACCTAAGAGGACAGGGCCTACACAGCTTGCTCAGCATCACATGGGAAGCACATGGGAGTCCAGACTTAACACCAGTTGGCCCAAATTTAGAAAGCGGATCCTCCTTCTTAGACAATACCCTACAAATACACCTAAGAACCAAAGAGGAGACATACTGGCTCAGACCAAAGGTCCACCCAGCCCAGTGTCTTCCTGTCTCCATAGCAGTCAAGAGCACATGAGCAGAGAAAGGTACAGGGACAGACAATCACATGTGATACCTGCCCCCTGTGCTCCCCCAGCCTTTATGACTTGATGCTCAGGGGCTTCAGGCAGATGTAGCTACTCCTTAGTCAGCAACCCTCCGCAGGATTCTCTCTGATGAACTTGCCCTGTTTCCCCTGGAGCCCAGGTAAACTTTTAACTGCATAGCACAGTCCTGCAAGGAGATAAACATCCTGCTTATACACCCATCAAACGAAGGTCCTAAAGAAAGAAAGTGACGTATTGCAACAGCTTTGGATCTCTCCTGAGAGAACACTGTGAGATGAACTGAACGGTTGCATGCTCTGCATTGTACTTCACAGTCTTCAAACTTGTGAGGTCCTGTCGAGGCAACATAACAAATGGAAAGAACTGAGAAGCAGAAGCAAGGGACTTCTGTGGTCCCACTGAGGCTTTGTTCCAGCTGTGTCACTGCAAAGCTTTGGGCAAATCAGTTCATCTCCCTATACTACTGTATTTCCACCAGTAAAACAACAGACACAACCACCTCCTCAAAGACATAGTGAAATGATTCATTAGATAATGTTGGTACAGAGCTTTGAAGATGTAAAACAGTGCTACTTGCAGTGAAAGAGCCCTACTTTTGCAATCTTTAAGGGCATGGAGTCAGCATGGCTCCCATGTGCTCACCTGAAGCTACGCACTTATTTAAGTCCTTTCTGCAGATACTTTCTAATGTCTAAAATATGAATACCTGAACAATATCATGAAGACCAGCCAAAAAATTTGTCAGGAATAAGTTTTTATAAGGAAGTGTCCTTACTATACAAATAAACGCCAAAATACCACTTAGAGGCTCTGCGGTAAATTTTACTAGAGAGGGTTTTTAAGATTACCTGTGAACTACTCCTGCCCGGTGAAGATGTTCAACTGCCAGAATAAGCTGCCGGATATATTTGCGCGCTTCATGCTCCTCAAGTCTTTTTTTCTCATAAATCTTGTGCATCAGGTTGCCACCAGGGCACAGCTCCATTACAAGGTAATAGCTGTTTTCAGTTTCCAGTATATCCAGCAGCTGAGCAATATTCGGGTGGCGGATCATTTGCTGGATCTGCCCTTCCCGTCGCAGATTCTTGGTGACATAGGTGTCCTTTTTGGCTCTTTTCTTGTCAATTACTTTAACTGCCACCTAATGAAAAAACAGAGAGGAGGGGATTGTTAGCAGTCACATGGATGATTTATTGCTTTAACCTTGTATAAACAACCTCAAAAAAAAATAAAAATCAAAAGGATATCAGTCTCAACTGATACACCATGGTTCCAGGCACAACTGCCCAGGTCAGAGAAATAGCTGTTTTTCCAACCCCACTGACAATTTCTTCCTTTATTCCCTTGTAAGATGACAGACAAAACTTACTGCAAGGAAGCAGGTAAAAAAAGGAGAGAAGACAATCTCATTAACCATACCCAAATACTCAGTACACTTCATGTTTGGCATTAATTTTATCTATTTTCCCAAAAGTCTTCAGGCTGGTGTTTACAAGTTTTAGGTGTCATTTTCCTGGCTTTGAATATACAACTCAAGATGATGTGCTTCCATGACAAATTTCTTAAACTATAGCCAAGTGTTAGTTTTGCATGATTAGACAGAATAAAAACATACTATGAAAAACAAAATAATTTTGGTACCATTCTCTTGGGACATTTCTTCTTCCTCTTTTAAAATGTACATGAAAGATGACCCCCTTGTGACTTCTAGAACTGAACAACTCTGCAAAATCCAAGAAGGCAAAACTTTTTTTTTTTTTAATGCAAGTTCTCAGTGGCACACCTGCTCACAGCTGACCAAGTCAACTGAAGCCCATCATGAAAGTACCTAAGAAAACTAAGGAGATTCTAACACAATCTATGACACAGCATGTGCTAGCACCGATCCAAGTGCTTTCCTTCTCATTGATGCTGCAGAATGCCACAGGAGAGCAAAGGGCTGGGACAGGCTATGCTATCTCTCTGCTCTATGCCTAAAGAACCTGGTTCCTTTTATTGTTTTAGTGGATTCACCAAATAGCCGCAATAAAAGTATCTGCCTTTTTCTGCCTCAAATTTATAGCCACTTATTTATTTACTGAGATTTCTTCTTTAGATTGGGTGCTGCAGACTTCCAGGTCATCTGCACCAGACAAAGATTTAACAGCTTGTGCCAGGCTGAGCAACAAAAGGCACCACAAAATCCTCCTCCCGAGCTCCTCATTTCCTCAGAGCTCTGCAACAAAGGAACTCCTTCACCACACGCACCCGGACCCCGCAGCTCGCCCATCGTTACCCAAGTGACAGCTGCTTGTTTGTCAGGATGAGAGGAGAGGAAAACATGGTGCTTGGTATGGCTGCATGACACTGAATTTTACATGATGCAAAACTCTTGTTTGCATGGGTACAGGTCCAACAAAACACACAGAAAATGCCACATCTTCTCCCCCAGATGGAGACACAAAGATGCTGCATTCGCATCTTTGCTGTCTGCAACAATTTGGCTTTGGAGGATCTCCTGCATTACTTTTTACTCCTACAATGAGAACAAATAACAAATGTGGGGAAAACCTCAGAGTTCTATTTACCCTAGCCTTAACACCCAGACAACAGCACAAGCCCAAGAGGCTTCCCTCCATCTCCAGCGCATACAACATCCCTCCTCATGGCTGACAAACTAACTACTCACAGCAAACTCATTTTCAACTATGGCCAACTACATCGTGACAATCTACAGCACTGCAGGCTAGTGGGCTTCAGCAACAGGGACGCAAACTTATTCAAAACATATCTGGCTGCCTTCCTAGCTTGAGAAAATGCCAAGCACACATCAAGCACATGACAGCTCCCAGGCTGACTAGCCTTACCTTTATTTTTTCTGCAAGGAGAGGAAAAGTTAAATTAGTGAACATTTTGGTTTCCCTTTAGAGAACAAAAGCCACAAAAAATATGGTCTGGAAATATGACAACAAAAATAGATCCATACCCTTTGACACGAATGCCTTGAATCAGTCAAGTTTTATCAGCAGAGGAACTGAAGCATAAAACTACAGGAGTTGGGGCTTCGTAGTCTGTCCTGAGAGCCAGAAGTCAGTATCGCTGAGCACATTATTAGCTGGATACATTTCTGCTGCTAAAAGATCATTCTGATGAAATACCCTTGATAAAGAGATAAGGCTGAACACCACACACGAGACAGCTGCCTGGGTGAAGCCCACAGCAGCATCAAGACCATAAATACCTGGAAACTACATTCCTGACTAGTCACATTAAAGAAAGATCATTTAGCCATAAGATAAAACAACAGGTAAGTCAGAGCTTAACTTCACCATTTCTGAAAGCCTCAGGTGATTCACCAAGGAAACAGTCTTAAATTAGTACGTTCTTCCATCTAATGAGACAGAACTGAGAGCACAGAGGCTTGCATGGATTATGCAGACAGCAAACCACAGAAGTTATTCTGGTGAGGACAAACAAATTCATGGGTTACAGAAACATGAGATGCCAGATTGTTTTCTGGCAGCACAACACACACACACACACACACACACAAAAGGCAGCTGATATTTTCCACAGCTGCAGGATACAAAACATGCAAGTGTTAAGAGTATGAAACCATAATCTGTTATCCATATTGGTAAGTCATCCCCCAATTCATTGACCAAAACAAAGCACATTACTACACGTGTGCACATCTGCTGCCCAGGCTGAGCACAGCTGTGGAGATGGGGGCAACCACCTGAACCCAGGAGACAGAGCCAACTATGAAATTACTTGATGATTTTTTCACTATCATAAAGAATTAGCTTTCTGAGCTCTAAGGACAAATTTTCTCCTTGACTTTGCCAGACACTTGGTCAGGCACCCTACCTATCCCAGCAGACAAGCAAAGCTGCTTTCAAACTCACTGACAGCTATCTTTCCCACTTGAAGGCCCCTTGCATCAAGCCCAAGAGATCCACCAGCACAGCTGACAGAGCCAACAAAGGTGGAAGCAACAGTTGTGTGCATAGGGGAAAGAAAAGAGTAAAACACCAGGTAAGGCTATGGCAGACTTGCATCTCCCACACCAGACAGGAAACTAGCTTCGGTGAGATACTGTTTGCTCCTGGGATAGATGTGTGTGGGACCTTGTGTCCTCTCCCAGGTCCCCACTGCAGCACAGGGCACCCCAGAAATATCTCAGACAGATGTTCCCCTCTCTATCTTGGCAATTATTCAAAAGCCAGGGTCTTTAAAGAAACCTCTGTATATCTAAAGAAAAAGAATCGTGGTTGACCCAAACACACAAGCAGCCTATCAACTTTCACATGGATGTTCTCTATAATAGCTGCTAGCTTTTGTTCCTCTCTGTTCCTCCTGGGTCTTCTTCCTTACTACTCCTTTCACTTATTCTCCTGACCTCCTAATCACTGCCCTTTCCCTTGCACTGAGGTTCTTTTTGCTTTTTCTTTCTTGTAGGATCACCTTCCTTTCCTACATGAAATGCATCCCGTGGTACAAGGGTTGCGCCAAGTGTCAGCACTCCTGAGGTTTTTTTCTGCTTGTCTGGGTTTCTTGGATTCTCCTCTGATTTACAATTTACTCAGAAGCATATACAGAAAATCTAGGAATCAAACTCTGCACTCAGTTACTCCAGGGTTGACTTAGCTAAATATCCCCAATTTTGAGTTCATCCAGAGTTAGACCAAGGTAAGTGAAGACCAAATGTGCCCCAATGCATTTAATGTACACAGCCTCCCGTATGGTGTAGATGTCTGTGCATACACCTGAAAATTGCATTCATGCAGAAGGAAAAAGCATTCAGTAGAGAAAATACTGTAGATGTTAGGTAATCATAAAATAAACACACGTGAGCTTTCATAGGCTACTCAAGACATGCCAATTATTCAATTTTGCTCTCCCAAGTTTCAAGTAGGGACTCTGTCTCCTTATCATGCCTATCTCCTGACTTGAATTCTTGGCCAATCTTGGCACAGAAACAAAAAAAATAAATTATAAAGCAAGTAATTACTCTGAATATGTAGCAACAGTGGCTCTTGACATTCAACACCTTGCTTTTGGCTAAACCTTTGCTGTGTAAATAAATAAATGGTTTAGGTTATTCTGTGTATGAGCTACAAAGATGAGTAATAGGCCATATTTTTGGTTTCTGAGTCCTAGAATTACACTGTTGGAATGAATTACTTTCCTGAAGTTTATGGTGTGACACATCATATGAGCAACTGCTGCTTATCTTGATCGTCGCACTAAAATAGTTCAGGTTAGGCTAAAGCATACTGAAGTGGAGGTGAGGGGGAAGTGCAAGTACCTCTCTTCTCCACAGATCCTTGGAGGAGACCACGACACTGCTTACAGAACCAAGCAGCTAAAACACCATGAGCAAATACAGGCACGTGTCCTCACCCAAACAAAGGCACACACAGGCAGGGAGTTTTTGACAGCTAGTTTTAGGAGGGGTTGTGAATCGGCAAGAGAGAGGTGTGGGGGGGAGTAGAGCTGGCTGGCACCAAACTGCACAAAACCAGTTACAGCAAGGCCCTGAGAAGAAGCAAGAAGAGACAGTTCAAAGGACCAAATGTTGCCTAGAGAAATCTGGGAGTCAGGGCTTCAGTTGCTAGATCTCTGCCGCATCCAGCGAAAACACATTTTGCATCCTCTTGGTAAACAGTCACGCTCCAACATAGGAAACTGCAGCAAAGCATGGAAGGTGGCTCACAGGCAACCTAAGCATGCCCCAGCGTAGTGTCCAAGCAAGAGGCACACTTTGGGTCGGGCAGCTCCCCAGGTCTGCGCCCCGAGAGCGCACCGAGCCCACGGCGCCAGGCAGGAGGAACCTCCAGGTGCTCCATGGGCAGGGGTCAAAGTCATCCTCTCCCCCCTCTTTCCGCCGGCTATTTATCACCCTGTCAGTGACACTTGGAAAAATTGCGGGTCAAGAAGTAGTGTGTTTGTTAGTGAGGGAAAGATGCTTGCTCACCCAGTGGACACGCAAAGGTCTATTTAGATCACTGCCCGACTGCTTTGAAGCAGTGTTGTTTTGTCAGACTGAGGCTCAGTCTTACTACGAGATTTTTGTTTTTCCTTTGGACTGACCCTCCATAAATACTCCTCAGTGATGGAAGTCTGCTTTGAAATATTGTGTTTTTCAAATTCTGATGA